GAGGCCTACCAGCAAGACAACAGCAGCAACAACGGAAGCAGCAGCAACAACGCCAGATCTCAACAGAAGAAGAGCTCTGGTTGGCTGTTTGGAGCGGGCCGGAAAAAGGAGTCCTCCTCCCTCCCTTCCCAACGCGACGTGACTCCCTCTGCTCCTCCCCTTCCACCCGAAGACGCTCTAGCCTTCCAACAAATCAGCAGACACTACGACCATGGTCACTTTGGCCTAGCCGGCTCCAGTCCACCGCCGCCTTCATTCCTAACGGAAATGCCGCCGTCGGCTGACCCATGGGTCAACGCGCCTGCGGGCTCAGCATCACAGCCGCTGCGCATGAGTAGGAGTAGTCTGATGACTATTGCCGCTGGAGCGCCGTCGGCGGCGGTTTCGGGGCTGCTTGGTCGCATTTCGGGGCTGTTCGGCAAGAGGGGTCAAGAGGTCAGCAACGCTGGCGGCAGTAGCAGCGGCGTCGGCGGCAGCAGCGGTGTCGGCGGCAGTGGCGTCGGGATGTCGTACATCGGAGGTGGTGGTGGCAGCGGAGAGGTGATGCCGTCCGGGTCGAGCCGCGCTGCGGAAGGGAGGCAGATCATGCAGCGAATGCGGGTGAGGGGTGTGAGATGGTGTGTTTCATGCATGCATGCATGTGTATGTGGAGTCTTGTCGCTGCTTGGGTCCAGAAGCATTTGAGACTAGGGGCTGTTGCTAACAGGGAGAATAGGGCTGATAAGCACGGCAAGCTGACATCCGCGACTGAGGTATTGCTGCCGCTGCTGTTGCTGTGACCCATGGGTCATCACGCCAGGACATCTTAATGGCCGACGCATCGCTCTTTCAAGTGGACGAAGCGGATGGCCGAGTCACGCCACTCGTGGAGGGAGACGCTCTGCGGCTGCGTCTGAAGCAGCGCCCCAGCTCCAAAGAGGAGCGGCAGCAGCAGCACAAGTACGGAAGAGAAGGCGAGAGGGGTGGCGGCGGTAGCAGCAGCAGCGACGGCTGGGATGGCGGGTGGGGCGCTGTGCAAGAGGGAGTGGTCCGAATGCAGGTGGGTGCGGTATCGAAACTTTAAAGCAAGCAGCTGCTATAAACCGAACCCCGTCTTGTCTTGCTTCCTCTTCTTGCTTCCTTAGGCGTTGACCGCTCCACCCGCTGCTCCATGCAAACCACACCCGCGTCTTGTTCCTCGTGCTTGCCTTGCAGCAGCGTCCCCTCATGCATCCCCATACCCCCTCAAGCCTTCCCTCATCCCCACATGCTGTCATGCATCTTCCCTCCCTCAACCCCACCGTGCAGGTGGGCGATCGAGTCACCCTGCACCTCAACCCCCCGTCCGCCTCTCCGCGCGACTCCCAGCCGCCCCCGCTGCCCTTCCTCCACGCCGCTCCCGGTGTCTACACCTTCCGCTGTCCCGCGGGTAGGTTGGAGCTGCTGGGGAGACCTGGCGGAGGCGGCAGCACCGATGAAGGCGGCGGCGGTAGCGGTAGCGGCGGCGGTCCTGCATGGCCGGTGTCCGGCAGCAGCCGTGGCGGCGGGAACAGCGGAGGAACAGGAGGTGAAGGAGGCGGCGGCGGAGGAGGAGAGGGTGTGTATTATTGCCTGACGGTTAACCCAACGGTTTGTGACAGTTGCAGTTTGGAGGAGCTGGATTGTGTGCTGGCTGGGTACACGCATCTGAGGTGGGGTGGGGTAGGTGCTAGGAGTACGGTAGTAGCCGGGAGTGGTCGGGAAGTGGTTAAATTGTGGAGGGACGGCACTTTGTTGGGTAGATAGCAGTAGAGAAGGGAGCGAGGGTCATTGGGGCGTTCGGATTTCCTAAGCGGGTAGTTGGTTCCTGTGTCTTGCCTCTTCCTGCATGGATAGCCCTGCCCGACACACGGCGTTGCATGCCCAGCTAACTGTTGCGGTATTGCAAAGCAACAAGGAAAACGGCAGCTAAGCGCTTTGCCTGTGCACCGGTAGTAACACTAGCGTAGTATTGATTCGACCCCAAACCCTAATTCCTCATGTGATGATCTTCCCTTCCTTGTACTGCTGTATCTGCCCCCATCCGTCGCAGTGGTCTGCAGGCCCCAGCAGCAACGGCAACAACACCGCCCGCTACCGGAATTCCCGTACACGGTGCTTTGCCGTACGGTGTTGGCGGCGTGCCGTACGACAACGCCCGTCAGGCGGCGCCCGCGGGCGTCTCAGACGCCACTTCCGCTGCTTACCCCATCGTACCGCCGGCTACGGCGTCCACGATGGGAATCGAACCCGGTACGGCAATCGTGCCGTCGCCAGCGGTGACGGCGGAGGCGGCGTGGGCTGCGATGGCGGCGGCTGCCGCAGCCGCGGCGGCGGCGCCTGAGGGCGCGGTGGGTCTAGCTGGGCGAGTGGTGGCGGCTGCGAGGCTGATTGGGGAGGGCGTGGTGGCAGGGGCGCATTCCGTGGCGTACGGCATACGGCGCAAGGTAATACTGGATAAGTGAAGGTTGTTTTGCCTTGTTGCGCGGATCTTGCCTTGGTCTTGCCTTGATGCGTGGACTATCGGACTAGTTCGCGGCACGAGGCTTTGGTAGCGGTGGTGAACGATGCGGAGACGTGTTTTATGGTCTGATGGTGCTTCCAGACCCCACTTTGGGTCCGTCTTTGCATGCGCTGACGTATACTGACGTGTTAGCTAGCACTCGTCAGTATACGTCTACAAATGTATGTTTCTGTTCGTATGTTCCTCTTTTACGCCCAGTCGCCACCATCGCAATCCAACAGGCCGATGACATAGCCCGGAAGCGGCTGTCATCTCAAGCGGCAATGTACGGCCCCCCTGCAGCCGGCAGCAGCCGTACGACACCCATCCGCACGGCCGCGCTTCTTCCGCTGCGGTTGCTTGTTGTGGCAACATGGGTGGTCGCCCGGAGCTCTTCCCTGGTGGTCGGAGTGGTAACGGAAACCCTGGCGGGAGCCGGCGCTTGGGCGGCGGAGATTGTGATCTTCGGCGGGGCCCTAATGGCCCGGTGGTTGGAACTGTTGGGGAGCGTTATGAGCGGCGGCGGCGGAGACCACCGTAACGGTCGCAACGGTCGAAACCAAGTCACTGGCGGAGGTGGAGGCGGTGGAATGTCAGTGTGGGATATGGTGGCGGCGGTACGTACGGCGGTTTCGGTGCCCGGACACGTGGCACGTACGGCAGCGGGTACGGCTCTGCTTGTGTACGGTAAGTATTGATGATCCTAGATCTCTGGTGCCGTTGTATGTCGTACCCGCATGATAATATGCATCGATACTAATCTTACCGCCTGTCGACTTCACGTATGTGAGAGGGCCTATCTATGCGAGCGTTGCCGTACATTCATGTTTATGCCGTACACCTATTCTGTCGTACAGGTGAACTGCATGGCAGTCTTGAGGAGGCGGCGCGAGTGCTGCTGCGAGCGCTTACGGACGCGGCATGCGCGATGGCGGCGAGTACGGGCGGCCAAGACACTGCGGGGCTGACCCGTGGGTCACTGGAAGCTATAGGCTACGCGCTGGATGCCTTCACAGGCAAGTAGACACACATAACGACACAGACTGGCTGCAGGGGCCTATCTTTCCGTTGGATACCAAAGCACAACGCATGCGAGTATGTTGGTTGGCAGTGTTCCCGCACCCCACGTATCGCCTGAACCTTGATGCCCCACCGTAAACCTTTCCTTCCTTTCGGCAAGGAGGTAACGTTACGGTGCAATCAAACTCCTTCTTTGCAGATGCACATCAAACCCCTGCCCCCCCTCGGCATACATACCCCGGATCATGCGCAGGCATACGCAAGGTGGGCCTACGTGCTGTGGCGCGGGAGTATCAACGACGCCAGCTGGCCGCAGTTCTGGCGCCCAAACCCCCACCGCCGCCACCCTCTTCTTCGTCGACGGGATCCGAGCGGTCGTCATCCGCGTTACGGCGGCGGCGTTAGTGCGCGAGAGAGACACAGGGATCGCAGCCGAGGCGTGCGGACACGCGAGAAACACAGAATGCACGCGAGGGACACATGAGCCTTTCGAAGAGCCGTGGCGTGCCGACAGATTCTGCACCTGCCACAGGCACGGGTGAACTCGGCAAGAAGATGAACGGGGGCAACAGTGAGAGTCCATGAATGGCCCACTGCCCATGAATGGCTCATTAGTCACTACACCGAAGTTAAGGGTATCAGAGGGCCGCAGCGGTTGCGTTCACAAGAGGGATTGATGGTGTTGGTCTGCCAGCTGCAGAGCGCGTTGCCGGGTTGGGGTGGTCTGAGGAGCTCCCGGGATGTGGGTTGCCGGACTGTGCGCGTGCGGGTTTCATTGCTTTTTGTTGTTCCGGAGTTGTTGTTGTCCTGCCCTGTCACTGCATGTCTCGTTTTCCAGAAGGACAGAAGAAGGGCAGGTGATGAAGACGTGCGCAGGCGGCTTGGGACGTGTGAAACACTGGGAGCTAGGTGTTTCACACGCAGCTATACAGTCCGCCGGTCCGCCTTCAATCTCAACGTGCCAACGACCGCTGTTGTTGCTGTTGTTGTATCATGCCTCTTGACGCCGCGTTCCTTGCGGTTCCAGTAATTCACCCTCCGCTGATGTTGCAGCACGCTGCAGGCGTGAGGACGACCCTTGTGTAACATACGTGCGTTCCTTTTGGCCCGGCACAACATCCCTTGCACCAAAAAGGAAGACACAGCGTTCCAGAAATAAGCCCGGGGGTGCTGTCTTAACCCATACCATGCAACCAATGCTTCTATCGGTAATTAGCGTAACAACCTGAGGCCTGGGCAGCCCCAGGCAACCCTGAGCATGTGCTGTGCGACGAAGCATGCTCAGCCAGGTTGGCCCGTGCTCAGGCCTCAACAGACCATTTCAAGGGTAGGGAGGGTTCAGGAATCCACAGGGAAGTGCCGTTAGAGGTCGTCTCTTAATTGTCTGCTGATATCGCTCTCTGTGTCCATGTGCACACACCTCCCGCCGTCATCCGCGTTATAGCTGTTACATTGACCTCATGAGGGCGACAACAGCCAATGAACGAGGGCCGAGGGGACCCCGCCGAGGGGACCCCGCACTATACGAGCTTCAAACCTAGAAGGTCGTGAGGACAGAGTTTCAAGTATGAGCTAACACATATGCCCCTCCGACTGTCCGGTCTGTCACTCCTCTGCTACACGCCATTCTAGTAGCAGGAGGGACAAGCGCGTTAACCCTCCTGCATAGCAAAAGCCAGTCTGGACCAGCAAGGCTTTCTTTTCCTCCGGCAGGCTTTGTTATTACTCCATCGCCTGAACAACCAATCGACCGGTCAAACAAGGATGTCCTCGAGGATTCGCAAACACGCAAAAGCACCAAACCGTCAAACACTACACGCATCGGAACAGGACAGAGAGTTGGCACTCTGTAGCTGTTCCCTTTTTGCAAACACAAACACGTTTCCATGCCCCCCATGGCGCAACAGCAAACGCAATGGGGCATGGGACGCCGAAGCTGCTGCCACGCAATAATGCCGGCTGCTGCCGCTTGTTGCCTTGCATCACCCATGCGCGCACGCACGCGCGCCGACATACAATCGCGCAAATACGTGCATACTCGCAACAGAAGCCAGGCGCAAAACACCACACGCGCATCTTACACATACACGTAGATACGAGTTGTCCTTCCTAAACCAATCACATAGTGACGCCACAAAAACCGTTCCAACGGCAGCACCGAAACCAGGCAGGCGTGTGCGTGTCCGCCACACTCCCTTGGGACTCTTTTCCGACCCTTATTCGTACTCGTATTCGCACCCTTCACCACCAGATAAAAAAATGCCAGGCAAACCCAGACACGTACACAGGTACGAAAAAAACGCACCGCACACAAACGTTTACAAGCACCCAACAACAACACCTCTGCTTACTTCATTTAAGCCTACAGCAACAACACCTTCCGGTGCTGCCGCTGCCACTGTCACCTCCAGTTCACCACCACCTTCACCACCATCATATACCACCCAACCATTCGCCGCCACCCACCCCTAGCCATCCATTACCCCGTCTCTCCCATCACCCAGTCTCCCTTGCGCCGCCGCCTTACGCAGCCGCCGGGGTCAGGAGCATCGCAGGCCCCGCCGCCGCCTCTCCACTGCTGCTGCTGCTGGCCGCAGCAGGTGCCGGCGCCTCCTTCTTCTGCGCCTCGAATCCGTATCCCAGGCTGGTCCCCGAGTGCGCGGACAGCAGCTGCAGGTCAGACAGGTGCTTGCGGCGGAAGTCATCCACGATGGAGCTCACCTGAGCAGGGGGGGGGGGTCGGGGGGGATGGGGGGGTTGGGTTGGGTGTACGGCAGATGGGGAGAAGGGGGACGTGAGGAGGAAGTGTACGGCAGTGTTATGCATGGGGGAAGTTTACAAGCGCTACCGGGAGGGAATTTGGTGCTGCAGCGCAATCACGCAAGGCGATTGAGGGTTTCCCTCACCCCAAAACACATACTACTCAGCAGTAATTAGTTTTTCCCGACACCATCAGCATCACCGACATGCGTCGTCAACCTGCCACTCTTCTTACATCCAGCACCAGCGATTTAAGCAGTTATTGAGTTACGTTTCAGGTTTGTTTACCTCTGTTTTCCCTCTGTTTTGCCTGTACTCGCGGTTCACATGCGAACCTATCCCAACTGCTTGCTCTTGTTCTACTCAACTACACACGCTCTACCCCCGCTCCCCACTCCCCTACCTCCTCCGTGTTGAAATCCATTTCCCGCAGTACGGCAGCTGCCAGCTGCAGCGAGGGCTCCAGGGTCTCCGGAACCACGGCGGTGGCGCCCGCCCGCTCCAGGTTGACTGAGCGGCGGGGGAAGGGGGGGAGAAAACCCATGAGCGATGGGGAATGAGGGGAGAGTGGGGTTTAAAGAACAGCTGGCACAACGATTGTGTCACAGCATGAGTCGGAATTCGGGATTGGGACTCCGTTGCTTCACTTTTCCATTCTTCCCCCCGCCCCACCCCCCCGACCCCCGCCACCCACCCGCATTGGTGATGTCATGCGCGCGCACGTAGGTCTTCACGTGCGGGAAGTGCTTGGACAGCGTGTACACCGCTCGGTAGTTGGCGCCGGGGGTGTCGAGCGCGATGATGGCGCAGGCGGCCCGCTCCGCCCCCACAAGGTGCATCACGGACTGGGAGCCTGGGGGGGAGGGGGGGGAGGGGGGGTAATGTGTATAGGGTTGGAACTTGGAACGGGCTGTAAGATATGGGGGGCAGGACGGGGAGAGGGCAGGGCAGCATTGAGGAGGAAGGAGGAGGGAAGCAACTGAAGCCGCGACACCGCGTTTATTCCCGTCGCCTACTAAGCCGAATCCCCGCTACCAGCCCCCATCATTACAAGGGCAAACCCCGCACCACCACCCCTCCTCCTTCCCACCCCCACCCCCCTCCCCCCTTCTCACCCGCATCTCCAAAGTACACGGGCACATCCTTCTTCTTGCCCACCGACACGCGCGCGCTGCTGACGTCCAGCGCCACGAAGGGGATCATCTGCTCGCTCAGCAGCTGAGCAATCACCTGGCCTACGCGGCCGTAGCCGGCGATGATGACGTGGTCCTTCAGGTCCTTGGCCTCGTCCTCCTGGGGGGGGTGAGGGGGTGGTGGGGGAGGTTTTTGTGCTAAGAGAACTGGCAGCCAGTCGTAACGTACTGCGATTGCCGGAAGATGACGTCCCCACAGAAACGCCATGCGTGTGTTACTGCGCGAGTCGGCACGTACTGTCCGTCTTTGCGGAAACCAGCGTTCTAGAACCCCCAGTCCTCCCCAGCCCCCCCCCCTCCCCCCCCCCCCCCCTTCCTTCGTCAGTGTCTCATCATCATATATATATTTTTTACCCCCCTTCCGCGCCCGCTACCTTGGGCTGCATGGCCACCAGGTCGTTGCTCTCCATCACCGCGCCCATGCGGCTGCCCAGCTCGGCTAGGTAGGGCGTGAGCGCCATGGACAGAGCGACAACCTGCAGGGCAGGGGGGGGAGGGGGGAAGGGGGTTAATAGGGATACATGTTTCCGCATTAGGCTGGATAGGCAAGGGGGGTCACGACAGAGGGCCAGCGAAGGGGCTAGCGATAGCGATAGCAGGGGGGAAGCAGCTAGGAAGCACCGGGGCCCGCGCCCCGTCCTACTGTCATGGAACACGACCACGCACCCTTGCCATTCACACATCTTTGCTTGTAGGGTTAGTCCCTCCCCATATACCATGATATGGCATGGTCTTTATCCTCCCATCCCCCCCCCTTCCAAGCGACGCCACCCGCTCTCCTCACTCACCAGGTACATCAGGTTGCAGACGGGCGCCGGCAGCACGCCCCGCGATACCGCCTCCCCGAACGCCACGAACGCAAACTCGCCGCCGGGCGCCAGCAGCAGCCCCGAGCGGATGGAGGCGAGGCGGGTGAGGCCGAACAGCGGGCCCACAGCGGCCATGACAGCGGTCTGGGAGGGGGGAGCGGTGGGGAGGAGGGAAGAGCGATGGATGATGACGTAAAACGCTACACGGCATGTAGCAAACAGGTGGGGTGAACTCGCGCACCGTGTAACACATCCGGTGAGGCGCACCCAGCCCTTGGACCCATCCCTCTCCCCCCACAGCGCTGGGCCCAATCCTCCTTCCGTCCTCCTGTTATTATTCCTCGCGTCATTCCTCCTCCCATCCCTCCTCCGCATCCCATTCCTCCTCCCTGCCCTCACCTTGCCCGCAATCAGCACAAAGATGGCTGCCAGCACCTCCTTCCACTTCTGGATGAACAGCTGCACGCTGATCTCCATGCCCACCGACATGAAGAACAGACCCATCAGCAGACCCTTGTACGGCGCGATGTCGGACTCAACCTGACGGGTGGGGTGGAGGGTGGGAGGTGGGGGTTTAAGGAGGGGTGGGGGAGCAGAAGATGAAGACCTCTTGTGGGAGCAAGAAGTCAGGGTCCCTCTCTCCCTCCGTTGCTTCACTTTTCAGCTATTACCGGTATGCTCCCCCAACCTCGCGGCTCAGTTTATCTAATCCCTCCCACCTGCAGCGCATACTCCGTCTCCGCGATCAGCAGGCCCGCCAGGAAGGCCCCCAGCGCCAGACTCAGCCCCGCCAGCTGCGTGAGGAAGGAGGTGCCCAGCACCATCAGCAGCGTGGTGGCGGCGAAGATCTCGGCGTTGGCGAACTCGGAGATCTTCTTGTACAGCGGGCGGACAAGGTGACGGCCGCCTGGGAGGGGGATGCATGGGGGGGTGAGCAGAGGTGCATGGAGAGGTGAGGAAGAAAAATGGAATGAAAAGCACTTTATTAGTCTCTCCTTCTGCCCACCCTCATCGCGGGTTCATCCAAACACGGTCGGCCCTCCAAGCTACACACACATCTCCTCCCTCCCCTCCTCCTCTCCTCACCCGCAATGATGCCCACGATGGCCACCACCGCCTTCACCGCCGCCAGACCCAGCGCCCCCGCGATCTTGGCGAACCCGCCCGTGGAGCCGTCGGGCGAAGGCGCCAGCAGCGGGATCAGCATCAGCAGCACCACCACCGCTAGATCCTGGAGGTTGGGGGGAGGGGAGGGGTGGGTGTGTGGGATTAACAGGGATACACATTCCGCATTAGGCTGGATTTTAGGATTGCGTTTAGTCAAACTGTGTGTGGGAAAGGTGCAGGAGGTATGGGGGGGGAAGTGGGGAGGGGTGTGGGGGAGGTGCTGGAGGAAGAGCAGGAGGGGTGTTGTAGGGTGAAGGGAGCATGCTAGGCAAATACAACAACCCTGCGTCCCGAGCCGGGAGCTCTGCACCCCTCTCCTCTCTTTCGTCCGCCACTTCTCTGAACACCACCTCCTCCTGCCGTACACTCCCTCCCCCCAAGCACCCTCCCGCACCCTTCCCTTCCCCGCACCTGCAGCAGCAGCACCGAGAAGATAGCCCGGCCGTGGCGGCTGCCCATCTCACCGCGCTCCTCAAGCACCTGGGGAGCAGCAGGGGAGGAGCAGGAGGAGCAGGAGGGGGAGCACGGATGAGTGATTCAGTTGGGGGAAAAGGCACATGCAAGACATCCAACAAGTGATCCAACAACGCCATCCAAGGAAAACAGTCCTGAACCACTAAACCACAGCCCTTCTCCATACCGGGGCCCTCCCCACCCAACACCAACCCCCCACCCAACCTCATAAGCCCTACCCAACACAAGCCCCAGTGCCCCCCCCAACCCCAACACCCCAACCCCACTCCCCCACCTGGATCGCCACAGCCGTGCTGCTCATGGCCAGCGAGCCTCCCAGGATGATGGCCCCCGGGACCGGCAGCCCCGCAAAGTACATGGCGATACCCGCAGCGCCCAGCAGCGTGAACACAACCTGATGGGGCGGGGGAGGGGGAACGCGGGGAGGGGGAGGGGTAAGGGCGGGGCAGGAAGGAGGCGGGGAGGGAAGAGGAGGGCAAGCAGGCACGGCAAGGATGGAAGAGCCCCGCCAACCCCCCTCTATTCAACACATTGGGTACCATTCTTCCCCCCTCCCCTCCACCCCCCCCCACCTGCGCCGATCCCATGCCGAACACCAGCTTTGCCATGGACTGCAGCCGCTCCAGCGACAGCTCCAACCCGATGTTGAACAGCAGCAGCACCACCCCGATCTCCGCCAGGTGCTTGATGTTGTTCACGTCGCTGATGAGGCCCAGCGCGTAGGGGCCCACGATGGCACCGCCCAGAAGGTAACCCAGCACCGCGTTGCCACCTGCATGGGGGGGGTTGCATGGGGGGCGGGGTTGCATGAAGGGGTTGCATGGAGTGCATGGGGGGGTGCATGGCATGGTTCGTATCAGCATGGGTTGTCTTGCATTGGGATGAGGACACGGGAGCCCCGAGCCGCATCAGCAGCAGCTGGACGCCGAATCGGCCCTTCCCCCTGCCGTACACCCTGCATGCACCCCCCTGCCGTACACCCTTCATCAGCACGCACCCGGCACTCCCTTGACCACCAGCGGCACACACACGATGGAGGTGAAGAGCAGGCAGATGGTCTCCAGCAGACCGCGCTCCGCCTCGTGGATGTGGATGTGCCCCAGTTGGTGCTGTACGACAGGAGGGGAGGGAGATGGGGAAACATGTAAGAGTGGAGGTGGGAACGATACGCGATGTGCTCTTGCCCCAACTCTCAAATTACCGGAAACGCCAACACACACGCCGCCCCTTCCCACTAAAAACACACCTCAACCCGCTCCCCAGCAGCCCCCTCCCAGCCCCCTTCCGTACCTTGATGAACGACATGAGCGAGCCCGCCATCCCCAGCACCGCCCGACCCGGGTCCGTGTAGTTGAGGAAGTAGAACCCGGCCACCGCGCCCAACGCAGCCGCGCCGATCTTCACCCAGTCCACCGCCGGCTTGGCGGCAGGCGGGTACAAGCTACCTGGCTCCACAAGCGTGGCGGAGGCGGCGGCAGCGGCAGGGGCAGCGGCGGCGGCGATAGCCGCCGCCGGCGCCGCCGTTACCTCCGTCGCGCCCACCACCGCCGCCACGGCGGCGCCAGCCGCTGAGGCGGCGGCGGCAGCCGCCGAAGGCGGCGCGGCCGCGGCAGCGGCCGCGCCGGCGGCGGCTGGCGCCGCCGCCGCCGCTGCCTCAGCGTCCGGCAGCTGTTGCTGCTCCGGCGCTGCCTCCGCCGCCCCCAGGTCCTTGAGCGCGGAGAGGGTCTTCTCCAGCGCTACCTGCGTCTCCTTCACCACTGCGGCCGCCTGCATCTCGTCCTTCACAGCCGCCTCAGCTGCGCTCATGGCAGCAGCGGCCACCTCCTCCGCCTTGGCTGCAGCCGCCTCCGCCACCACCGACTGCATACACACATACACGCACATGCGGCCACTTGTATTAACACACACGCACAAGGAAGGAAGTCCGCCATGCATTATATACACATGCGTAATCAGCAGCAGCAGGGGTAAGGTGAGGTGAGGTGATGCTTCTGGTGGTGCGAATCCCTGCGGCCTCCAGCCCTCCGCAATGCCTACTCTCCCCCCCCCCTCCTCCCCCTGCCCCCACCTTGGCGTACAGCTCCTCCATGGCCGCCTTGAGCCCCATGAGTGCGGTGGACATGTCGCCCACCTGCGCCTCCACCTCGCCCAGCTCCGACTCCAGGGAGGCCAGGTTGGCGGCGAAGGCGTCCACCTGCGGAGGCGAGGGTGGAGGAGGGGGTGAGAAGGGGGTTGAGAAGGGTTGTACAGGAGGGGGTTGGTTGATCATGGAGATTTGGGCAGATGGGCAAGGTTTTCTGCATTGAGGAGGGTTTTAGAGGCAGGAGGCACTGTAGACGTGTCGACGCGGCTGTGCAGGGAGGAGGGCCCGGGCATGAGGCGATGAGGGGAAGCCGGATGGAGCCAGACAGCTCCTCGACGCCCCCCCATGTGAGGCTGTTTTCCTTCCCGCTTCATCTCCTTCCTCCCGCTCACCTCGGCTCCCTCCTCAGCCGCCGGCTTCTCCCCCAGCAGCGCCTCCCGCCGCTCCCGAAGGGCCGTGGCGCGGTCGAGCAGCGCCTGCAAGAGGGAGGGGGAGGGGGTCACAAATAAGGAAACTGATGCGGAAGGGGGAGGTGGAGGGAGGGATGGGAGAGAGGCTGTTATCGCCCCATAGCCGCGGCGGTGTTGGTTGACCTGGGTCAGCCTCCGGGGCAGGGAGATGCTCGGTTCGCCCGAGCATGGACCATGTTCCTTTCACCCCCCAACTTCAGCCCGCCTGCCCTGTAGCGCCGCCCGCACCCCCTGCCTGCCCTAACTCCAGCCCCAACCCCCCCAACCCCGCACCTGCCCCAACCGCAGCCAACTACACACACCACCCCCCCGCACCTGCTGCTGCCGGATGGCCTCCTCAATCTGCGCCGAGACTGCAAGCACCTCGGCCTTGGCGGCATCGCGCGCCTCCACAGCCTCCACCGCAAGCTGTTGGGAGGGAGGAGGGAGGGGTTACACGGCACAGTGAACAAGAAGGAGGACTAGGAGTTAGGTGTAAACCAAAAAGCTAGGAGTTAGTTGTTAGCCGACTAGCTCTGGAATATGGCCTTCGGCCTTCTCGGCTGGATGCGATCCAGCACTGCCAAGGCATATTGCGCCCCTTCACCTGCAACAATGATATGCATGTTTTGCGATCGCGCAATCCAACTTGCGTTATACTCCTTGAAAGCAAGGTAAGTATACCGCGGCGTGGGAACAACAAAGGGCCCGCCGGCCGCCGACCCAGATCAAGATGTGTGGGTACAGCCTCAAACAATCGTTTGCTGTGGCATCCCGGTACCGGTACCACACTGGCAGGCGTGCATTAGCACATAGCAGTCCAATTTGTTTAGGTAGGCATCGCGGGGGAACGTTCCGGTCCCAATTAGGCAGTGGTGAAATTGCCGGCAGCATAACGTAGAAACCCAGTACCTAACCAGTGCGGCTGGGTAGAGTACCGGTGAGTAGGCCATGGGGGGAGGCGTGACCCAGCTGCCGCGTTGGGCACATCTGGTGCATGGCTAATCAAATAGGGGCAACCTGACGCATGCTGCAGTTGCTGCTTCCGATGTACGACACCACAGAGGAGTAGATTTGGCAGCCCGTGTGTGTCTCCGCCGACCCACATCGACCCAAATCAAATACCCCACGCCACGACATGGCACGGGGGTGCAGTCGACCCGCCCAATCAACCCACATCAACCCACATCCAGTACAGTGTGCAGTACCCACCCCGCATTCCCGCATGCGTGTGTGCTCATTCCTACCAACTACCACAAGCACCCTCCCCACCCCCCACCAAGCCCTGCGTCACGTACATCCCATAATCAAGAACCCGAGGTGTACCTAAACCGCACCCAGCGAGGTCATGCCCCACCCAACGAGGTCATGCTGTGCCCCCGCTTTCCGCCCACCTGCGCAACCTCCTGTGCCTCCGCCTCTAGCGCCTCACGCACACGCTGGGCCTCCTGCAGGCTAGCCCGGGAGCTGTTCAGAGCCTGGATGAGCGGGTTGGTGCTGCCCAGCTTCTCCGTGATGTCCATGGTGGTAAGGTGGGCGGGAGGAGGTGCGGATGGAGGCACTCCATTGCTAGATGCCGGAGCAGGCGGGACCGCAGCAGGCACAGATCCGTTTAGGTCTGGGTTGTTAAGGCTGCTAGGAACGCGCAGTCCGCGAAGAGGAGCACCGGGTGCTAGCCGAGCCGGGCGAATAGGAGTCAATCGAGGCGCCGCGGGCCGGCGCTGCAAGGCGCCTACCGAGCAGCCCGGTCGCTGCAGATGAGTAGCCATTTTGGTGCGATGAGTTTTATGACCTGTGGATTATGATTTAAGGATTTTACGCAAGCAGGGATCAAGTTAGAGGGTCCGAAACCTGCTCAGGCCATGACTATCGACAGAGTAGGCTGTAGGAGACTACTGTATTTCGCGCAGCATACGATATGGGCATCCTCAGCTTAAACAGCTCCATCGAAAAGAAGGCTTTCGCAAAGTACTCTTAAAAGCTATGTCCACAGCAGCCGTCCCGGTAATCATTTGCAGCGAGGTCTTCCGAACCACTCACCAGGAAGTCAGCTACGCGTCACAAAGGCTTCCGGTGTTCTGAAAAGTCAATCGGCGGCTGTGAAGGCCTCGACACGGTAGGTTGCACGTGAGACGGAAGTAACGGACGCCGCCAAGTAAAGTGGCGTAACGTCGTCCCTGCCTGTCGGGATGGCCAACACCGTAATGAAGATTATGTTCAGATTCGCAGTTGTACAGTGCGACATGGTTTGTTATAGGGCCTTTTGCCTTATGCGGGATTGGTTGGCGCGTGTACGCATGCAGCGCCTTGTGGTTCATTGTTAAAGGTTTCCTTGTGCTTTTACTTGTACAAGTCAACGCCTGTATTGGGCAACGCTTGGCACTTTGCGTCGCGACCCGGGGTTCCCCTTCCCGAAGACTTGGGCGCAGTTAGGGCTTCTCTATAGGCGTACCATTTTGCTATCCATTACTAGCTGCACCGGTAGCCCTGCGGCTTGCCGACGTTTCGGTTCCTCAGCCATCCATCGCAGGCCACCTCGCGTATGACAACAAAAGGTGTTAGCACTTCCAAAAACCCTAACGGCAGCCAGCAGCCTTCTGCGTATCACGTCACAGTCATTCGGGTTCAGTACGCCAGCAATACTTGCTTTTCCTTATTAAGTGTCGTACGGCTTCCCCAAACCCTTGTTGACCGCTTCCAGCCAGGACCAAGTTGCGGTCCACGCCTACTCCAACACCTCCAACCCCACTCTCGGTCATCCAAGCCGGGTGTTTCTAGCCATTCAAACAGCTGTCTACGCGCGCGTCCATACGCGCAGCATGAACTTGTCATGCCCCGCTGCTATGGCTAGCATATCTGGGAATGCTGGAGCGCGGACGAGTCATTAAGATGGCCGCACCTGCGGGCGGGTACGACATGCCCTGATAACCGTGTCTGTCTCCTGATGCTGTACGTTGGCCAGAGGTGGTGTGACCGGAATGAGAGGATTTGTTTGTCTGCAGTGGAGGTGCTCGCAGGCAGAATGCAACCAGAATGTAACTAACCTGCAGACGTCCTCCCTCCCAAGAAGGAGTCCAAGGAGAGCCAGGCGCCAAGGCTTACAGTTGTGCCAAGGGGGTGACCGGGTCAGGGACCAGGCATCAGAAAGCACCAGAGTACCGTAATGTTTAGTAGTGGGCATCTACCCTAACTTGCATCCTGCTCCCTACCTCGTCACTCTGCCGTCCAAACACACATCCGCCAAGGAACGTACGTACCGGTCCATCCAACGCAGCACGGCTACAGAACGCCAGCACGCACTTCGCCTCTTCAACCACCTACCAGCAACGATAACAGCAACACACCATTCAGCCAGGGTTCAGCCCCAAGCACAGCGGTGCCCTTAGGATGCCGCCGCACTTGTAAAGGTATACGACAAAACCACGCCTTGCCCGGAACGCCTTGCTGTTTACAGGAAGTGTATGTGGAAGCAAACAGGTGCTTCCTCCCAACGGCTCGCCTAACGGTGTCCTTAGGCATGGGGCCACACAGACAGAGCAGCAGATACATTTAGGTTCGCGCCCCCGCATGCCAAGGTCTGATAGGGCAGAAGCCGACAGTGCTACATAAGGATATGCCGGCGCCCTTCTTAGGAGCTAGCACAATAACCGCGCAACATCAGCAGCAGAGCAGCAACCGCACCGGCGGTAGCCGCACGTGCAACAAGTGCAAGCCTGCTGACGACGTCATCCGACAACCCCCTTGCATGCGGCCACAAAAGCCCGTCCTAGCTGTCCTAGCACAACAAAACTTGAAAAGCGAGAATTGGGAAGACAAGGGGATGCATTGAATGTTTGAAATAACGCCAAATTCTCTCAGGAGGCCGAACTCTCTCAGAAGCCATGTCTCTGTGCCTTCCCCTTCAAACTTTTGAAGCCGAAAGCATCCCTCTCCTCCCTCTCTCTTTGTACAGTAGCTCCCCACTAACACCCATTTCACCCTGTACCAGCGACAGGACCCCACACGATAATACATCCGACCCTGCCGCCTCCGCTGGCACGCACGTACTCTACGCACGGCCATGTACAGCGCAATGTGTACGGCAAAACGCAAAAGCATAAGCTAGCAGGCGTCGTACAACCGCTCTCTCAACTGCTCAAATAAACATGCAAGCACATATCGCACAGGCACTGTGTGCTCACAAGATAGGTCAACACGTGTTCCTAGGATAGGGCATGCCCGGGCGCCATAACCCGGGCAAGCCAGGATTTCCGCTATTCAGGAACGCCCCGGGAAGTGCAGTTTGACACCTCGCCATCGTTCATTCGTACGCCCTCTGTTACGCCGCAGGTCGTATACGAGGTACGAGGGCGGGGGCAGTTGAACACAGGCAAAACGGTACATAAGGTAAAGCAGTTCAACCCAACGGCAAAGTAAGAAGACTGTTTTGCCAAAGGGCTATGAAGTTAGATAGCTCTCAAACAGCAATGGGAGTTTCTCCTCCTCGTTTTATCACCGCCACAACCCCACGTCTTATATCACCGGGGATAGTCCACGGCTTTGCAGCCTCCTCCTCCAGTACATCATAATTTAGCATGACGGTAGCTGCTGCAAAGGAAAACGCAGCAACCGCTGGGATTTGATTGCTGCACCCAAGGCACTTGAATGACCACACGGTACGTGGGGAAGGGTGCGCTGCATCCGCCCAAGGCATTCTCACAGCCCTTTGCGACCACTGACGACTCATCATTCGCAATTCGCAACGCAGGCAGGCCCCCAACCGCTGCTAATCTCCGTACTGTCTACGCCAGTCGAAATTCCGCAACCGAAGCATACCGAATCACGCCCACGTCAACTCATTCTCACATTGTGTAATCATTTCGCAGATTGGAATTCTGAAAAATCACCATAATCCCGTCAAAATTGTGCCCCTTGCGCCTTGCGAACGCAACGGACCCCACGGATGCAAATAACCATGGCCCTGTCCTTGACCAATGCGACTATTTCACTTCGCACCAGTGCCGCGGAAGAACTAACCAACTAACCAACCAACTCGGTCGCCAAACCTGTTCACCAGGAGGATGCAACAGCAATGTACGACAACAGGCAACGGCCAGGCAACTGGACAATTATCATGCATACGACATTTCTCAACATAGCAGCTCGAAGAGCGAAGCGACGTGGGCCGCGAACCACGCAGCAGCAGCGGTGGCGTTAATCCAGGCGGTGCCGCTCCGGACCTCCGGCCCCTATTATCATCACGCAATAAGGACATGTGGCCGCGCCATTGTACGAAATCCGATACGCCCGCCGATAGCTCCTGTCCGTTACTCCCCCATTTGCATGGCACATGTGACCCGTGGGTCACACGAGCCCCAGTAACCATGCTGGATTTCCTTTCTGCTGCCTGGTTAGCTGCAGCAGCGAGCATGTGGGTTTGCGTTGTGTCCTCTCGACTCGGCCGCTTCCTAGTCCTCTGCACCACCTCGCGCGTGCGGGCAGCTGTTTAGCTTCCCCTCCTTAGCTATCTGGCGGCAATAAAGACTCCAAACGAGCTCGAATTGCCTCGAGCTCTGGCCCGCTCAAGCCCGAGTAGCGAGCGAGTGCGGATCCAAACGCAGCACCACCGCTGTTGCCGCTGACGGCAGGAGGCGCTGCTGTCGTGGTAAGTGCCGCCGCGGCAGCGGCGCCGTTGCTGCCGCCGCCGCCACTGCTGCCGCTGTGTCGTACATCGGGCTCGGAATCCAGTACGGCAAACTGGCCGTCGCGTAACCGCAAGGAGCGCTCCCAATCGGTGATTGAGACGTTTATGTCGGGTGGGATGAGGAGCGAGCCGCGGGGTTCGAGGCGGCAGGCGTAGGCTTGGTCCTGGCAGAATGAGAGCAGCTCGCGCGGCGGGATAGAGCAGACTTGCGGGGTATGCTCCATGGCTGCTTCGAGCAGGCAGGCATAGCTGAGGGTTGGATAGGGAAAGAGCATGATAAAGGGGTTGCGGTTGGGGCATGTCGCGGTAAGCGAGGAGTAGGTGGTAAAAGGGGCGCGGTGTAGGGTGGCGGCGAAGGGTATTGTGTTGGGGTGACGGTTGGATGGGGAAAGGTTCACATAGTAACTTACCGCTGCGCCTCCTCCTCGCATTCAAAGGCGATAATGGTCTCATGCGGGACGCCATCGATGCTGAAAGCCCGTAATGAGTAAATGCCCTCCGTAGCCCGCTGGCCGACACCGAACAGGATGACGAAGACATTGCCAAGGCGGTCCCATAACTGAGGACCGGCCGCCAGGAGGTCCACACCAGGCTTGTCAGTTAAAGTCCAAAGGTCTTTATAGAACGGCTGTAGGTGACTCGTTGGAAACAGCAAGTCCCCTTCATGGAAATTCGAGGGCGAGGACTCGGGATTGGGAATACTTGGCTCGGGGCCAAAGTCCCAGTTGCATTCATCCGTAGATAAAAGTGTGTTGAAGGAACTTAGGAACGAAGCCGGCAATGCTGAGTAGCCGTATGCTTGCGGTCTGTCATCGCTGCTGCTGCTGCCGCCGTTGTGCGGTTCCTGTTGAGCCGGCCGAGCGTCCATTTCACCCTGAATGGGTAGGCAACGTCATATAAATGTAGCTTCATCTTAGGCCTTTTCCTTGGCGAACGGTAGGCGCCAACCGGCAACTATAGCAGAATCGCACCTCTCCAAAAGAGCCGTCGCCAATGCTCCCGTCGCCATGTGACCCATCAGGCCCAATACATCCCACCAGGTGCGCTTGTCGCGACCGGGTGGGCGTGTTGTTGCTCTGATAACCTGCATGGCGATTACCAGACGTCGCCTGACGTGGCAGATAAAAAGTGCTTGACAAGACCCTCACCTAGGGGTGCTCGCCGATGGTAGGTCTCATTGCGGCAAGCACCAATAGCTTTAGCTGCAGGTAAAATAGACGCACTTCAGCGAGGGCCCGTTGGCAACCGACGACTGACCAACAACGCGCCCACCACAAGGCGAAGCTTGTAGCTCCGACGACGTCTGCCTTGCAAACCCACTCAGGGGTGCTGGCAGGCAGCGTTGAAGCATCATGTATGTAAGCTCTCTTGGGTTTGATGGTAGCCGGGGTCTTATGCTTACTCGACAAGTTCGCCTTATGAATTTAACAGATAAATAAAAAACGAAGTGCAAAAACTGTAACCTAAAGAGCAGATGTCCAAGTCGTTACCCTATCTCAGCCAATATGGATATGCCCTTTGTGCGACTTAAGCAAGTCTATTAGCCATTGCCATGAGCAGCTCATCACAACATTCTCAATGTCTTCAAGCGGTATTTCTGCTCTTGTGACGAGTCATCTCCTGTCGTTTGCAGTCGTCTCTGACCGCTTGACCAATAGCCGTACGGTTTCGGGGAAGAGCTAGGTTGATTGGCCGACACGGTTTATGCTTTTAGTATGCCTCTGCGGGCTGAATGTTTTTTACTTGAATTGTAGGTCTGCAGTGATGCAAGTTTAGTGTGTTCACTTCTATTACACAGCTTGCATGTACTTTTCGTGAATTAGTTAGAAATGCATTCATAACCCTGAATGTTACTTGTAGCCGGTTCCTTTGAGGCGTCGTGGGCGATGCCCTCCCTTGCAGCTACTCATCGCGTATCAAGGCCAGCTTGCTTTCCCGGTTCGGCAGTTCTTGGAACACGCCAGACGCATAGTCGTCGCCACATTCCCACGACGCGTTGCCAGGTTCGACGCCCATTAACGGCTTCCATCCCTTACGTCCTGTGACATGCCTTACCCGTCCTCCGACGCATTCTCTTCAGGGCCACCAGCAGCAATCACAGCAAGCATTACAGCCATTGCAACAGCTTGATAACGAACAGAAGCAATGCACGCATCTAGAGCAGCAACATCCGCAGCAGCCTGAAGCAGGCCTGTCGAGCTTGCCAAGCCACGACGCAGCAACAGTCAGCCGAATGGCTAGAATGCAGCAAAACTTCAATTCGGCCGGCGTGGGCCTGTTCCTGAGCATGTTCGGGGTAAGGGACCGTTCCATAACCGTCTGCCTTAACATCTTATCGGCCACCCATCTTGCTGTTTGAGACCCAGGTAACACCGCCCTCAATTCAGGTGGTTACATAGTCACCCACACGCTCCGTCTCCCTCTCCCATCTCTCTCGCCCTTCCCCTAGCACACGCTACCCATATACTCCAACCCAGTGCGGAATGTACAAACTCTGTTAATCTCCTTTCATATCTCTCCTGCATGAGAATTTCCACTGGGCATCATTATCGTCCGCCGGGCACTCCTCCTACAGGGCAACCAAAGCCTGGCGTTGCCTCATTTGGCAGCACCCGACATCCGCCATGTGGACTGGGAGGGGCTACGGGCGGCTGGTTTCCGAGGAGTTGTGTTCGATAAGGTTGGTTGGTTGGTTGGTTGGAAAGCCGTTAGGATTCCACTTGTTGGGGGTTGTTAGAGTGCCGTCGTATCAGAATGATCCCAGAATGATGCGTCGCGATGTTCAATCCGGTAGTTAAGGACGGGCGAAGTGGGCTGAGTGTCATGTTGGCCGGACTCCTGGACACCATACGTATTGCTTGTTCAAGCCACCCCAAGTCGCTCTCCCTTGCAGGACAACACGCTATCGCTGCCATTTGCGCTGGAGGTTGAGCCGCGACTTCGGAGCTCCCTGGCGAGTTGCCTGAGGGCCTTCGAGGGGCGAGCAGTGTTGTACAGCAATAGCGCGGGACTCAAACAGTACGACCCGGAAGGTACGATTTCCAAGTTGTGTTTCCTCGCACCAAGTGCCGGCGCACCACCCTTTGTCCAGCTCTTTTCCGGACACGAATACTAGACCGAAACGTGGCTGCTATGCAATTATGTTAGACACGTGTTCTGTTCCCAACATGCCTCAGGTGAGGAGGCTCGACGGATGGAAGCGGCGCTAGGCGTTCCAGTGTTGCGACATGAAGACAAGAAGCCGGCGGGCGGGTTTGCGGAGCTGGAGAGCCATTTCGGCTGCCCCGTCGCGGATCTGGTGATGGTGGGGGACAGGTGGGCCGCAATGCTCGGCCGGCCGGGTGGGCGGGTGAAGAGGAAAGCAGCCGTGGTGTGCGTGCGTGCGTGCGAGGACGACTGGTACTGTGGTGGCGACGGTTGTGGCGGTGGCGGCGGTGCCCTTAGCGTATCGTGGGGCTTTGAGATGAGGAGGAAGCGACGGGAAAGGATACCGTAGGTTTTTCCGGTTTTACTTGAGGTGGGAGGGACATGCTGTCCCAACGCTTGCATGCGATGCCCACTGCGCATGCAGGTACCTAACCGACATCGCGTTCGGTAACCGACACGGCATGCTAACGGTGCATGTCCAACCGCTAACCACCAAGGGCGAGCCGTTCGGAGTTCTGTTGGTAAGATGCTAGGGGCTGATGTGGGTTGGGATAGGGTCAACTGAGCGAAACCGTGGCAGGGGACCCTATGCGTGGTGGATCAACTGGTGCGTGGGAACGAACAACAGCATCGGCATATCGGCACATACGACTGTTTTCATGTGAAGTGTTCTCCGGATTTCCCTTTCCCTGTTACCCTTGTATCCTTGTATCCCATACGACATGCAATCATGCATGCTACCCTTCTCCTGGCTCCTCTCCCGGGTGCCCGGGTGTCAGGCGAGACGAGTCGAGGAGTTCTTTGTGGCGCGGTGGACCGCTGCTGGCGTGCACCCGCCCGCCCACAATCGGCTGCCGTACTCCGCACTCCACGAGTATGTCCGGGAGCCGAAGCTGTAAAATCACAGTGACGTTGCTGCTACTGCTACTGCCACGTAACGGTCGAGTCTGTTCCTTCAAGCTGTTGTGATTGCGAAAAGGGTTTACACTGCAGCGGCTGTCTTGGACACGTGGAAAAGGTTACACTGGAGAAGCCAGTCAGCTAGAGAACATGCGTATGTGGTACGACGAGCAAGCATGTGCATTTGGATTAGACGTGCGAGATCCTATTATGCGTGGCCCGGACTATGGTAAAGTGAAGGCCATCGACTGTACATGACAAAAGCAGGAGGGAGCAGGGAGGGCGCCAGCCCGCGGCGGTGTGCAGGAGTAGTTGTCATTTGTTCGCAGCCGAATAGGGCACCGGATAAACCAGACGATGAGTCAGATGATTAACATACCAGATGTTGTGTACTCGTGAGGTGGATTGCGGAGGGTGTAGGGGCTAGCAAGTGCTTCCTCGCTTTGTCCTTGACTTGGTATCATTGCGGTATAATTGCTGGTTGTTATACTGGTTGTTACAGCGGAAGTTACACTTACTGGAGGACAGTAGCTGAGACCAAGGCGCATGCCACGTGAAATGCGGTCGTGTAATGGGAACGGAAGCTCATCATCGATGTTCAGGGCGAAACCGCAGCGCGGTAGGATGCATGAAGACGAAGAGACCGTCCTAACTGCCGATTAGACGGCGGAATACGGAGGTCCCGCAATTGTGTGGGACGCCGCTGTGTTGTAAACGGGCCGCAGCGACAAAAAACGCATGAAGAAAAGTGAATGAAGAACATAGTTATAATTGTGCGTAGTAGGAAAAGTGGCGATGCGACAAGTGCAACGCGGTTATTATACAACCAACTGTAGCCTCAGCCCCCTGACCTCCCTCCCAACATCTGCTACCCAGATCCCTAACCGGTACTTGATCACTTCTTAGCAATCCATACTGCGCTAAAGCAAGAGAAGGCAGTGCTAGGTGTGCGGCACATAGTAGCGGTCGACGAACTGTAGCCTGCGGCTTCTTGAAAAAGTAGCCCGCCAATGAAAATTGAGCTAGAAGTGTGATGAGTGGCGTTCATGTGACCAGCAGGCCAGGAGGCGCCTCATCGTCCTTAGTCATCCAATGTCCCCCACCTCCCTTCCCCCCCGCCCAACCCGCGCTGTGCGTGAGAGGCCGTGCAGGCCAGCCCCTCACCAAACCGTAGGCGTTTTAGGGTGGCAGCGTGACGACTTGACGCGTTTTAGGGTACCGTACCTTCACGATATCATCGCGCAAAAATAAATAATTATTTCGGAAAATGCGCATTTTCGCGCAAAATAAAATAATTGCTAAGAGGGGTGCGCGAAACTGGGGAAACCCCTCGGGACCCTTCCCCGCACATCCAACATGTCTCAGCACCCCGTCAGCTCCGCTGCCCAGCCCCGGGCTGCATGCTAGTATGCCCCATGGAACACGTAGCGGTATTTGTAAGCTGTCTTGGCGATCTGGGCTTACATGGATGGGTCCTTACAGTCAAAACACAGTGGTGGGCACGAGCTGCGCAAAGTTGAAAAATAATTCCTGACACCCCTGCGCGAGCTTGAAAATAATTCCATTTAATGGGGCTGCGCGATGATCACCCGAAGGTACGGTATACAAGAAGCACAGGGAGGGCAAAAAAGAAGGCCCTTCCCCTACCACAGCCATGATGAAGACCCCCACGCCCCCAAACCGGTACCCTTCCTAGTATCCGGTGAGCTAGTATAGCTGACAAGGCGACCCAACCGTAGGTGGCAGTACAAAAACAACCTAACTGTGGCCTCAGGCTGAGGGGGCGCACGGGCCCCCTCCCCCTTAACCCCTCACTCCCCCAACCGCTAACCCTCACTAATTTTATTGCATCCAGCCACCAGAAACCCCTTTGCGTTGCGCTTACAGAAAATTCCTATGGTTTGGGATGTCCTTAAATCCCACTCGCTACCCGCTTGCACTCCCCTAACCCTCCCCAGAATAGTAATTATTACCGGTATAATAACGGAAGTATTATAATAACGGAAATATTTCACCCGTCCAGGTGCCTCACCATCCTCCGGCTTACCAATAACTATAGCCATCCAGTGTCCCCCAACCCCCTCCCCCTCCCCCGGCCCCCATTGGTGAAGCCCCGTCATACAGCTCGTGAGTTTCCTCGTTTTACCACACCCCACCTGCGGTGCGCTCGAGCCCGTGCAAGCCACAAGGGCCCCCTCACCCCAAACCGGTACCCTTCTTAGGATTGCATATTCCCCAGCTAGCCTTTACTTGCTCCCCATGCCGAGCATAGCTGGCAACGCATGCGCCCTTCTTTTCCTATCGTCACCATCGACTGCCACGTACCATCGACTGTGCCCTTACGTTTGCTTTACACCAAACCATGATTGCTGCAAGAGCCCGTGTCGTTGCTATACAATACAGCTATACAATATTGCCTAAAAATATATAACGGGCCAAGGGCTAAGTTGCTGGCGGTGACATTATCGTCAGCTGTGTGACACAAAAAACTGGCCGCGAGTCGGAACTTACTCTGTTTGCGGATGTTTGTGTCCATGTTACAGATCTCAGCTGTGTTCAGCTAAGGCTGCATGTGCCTGGACACAAAAGGCAAGCCACTCGGCGCCTAATACACAGCATTCAGCCGGATGGCGACAGAAAGCGTTGAATACGACGAGTGCACCAACACACGCGCACATAGCACAGTGATCGTGCAAACCTCATTACTTATTCTCTCCTCCCCTCTCATGTACCGTATACTACCCAGGGCGCTCTAAAGCAAGCAGTCCACCCTGGTATGGTCCTCAACCAAAGAGTGTAACCTCCACTACTGCTATTGCTATCGATAGCTACCGACTGTCGAACTGACCTTCCATTGCCACAGATCTACCGCCCCAAACTGTTGACAGCTCGGGTCTTATCCAACAATACGCAGTCGCATCCACAATGACATCCAAATGGTCATTCGTATTCCACCACATGGCTCTCAAACCCAACGAGGCCTGGACATTGAACACACAAGAGCGACGTGGCGGTGTCAGGAGGCAAAGGTCGCAGTGTCAATATGCACGGATGGTTGCGCGAACCTTGCGATCAACCGAATGATCGCCACGGAACGCATGGTAGTGCACTTTCGTGTTCAATGCCCCGGTGCCGCTCTCAAGCTCTCCCAAAGAGATCTCTCCTCAACAAATATCCCAATGTCATGTCACACAATGGCTTGTAGTGGGCCCAAAACAGGCTTCACGTGCATCCGCCCACATACCTTCAACTCCACTTCTCATGTGCCTTGTCTTCCGCATAATCCATCGATCGTTTACCTCACCTCACCACCTTCTCTGCCCTCCCTGTCCAGCGTTGGTCATTACCTCTCAACAATATCAACTCCGGACAACAAAGTAGGCATGCGTGCATCTGAGGGCGCCGGCGCGCAGAAGGTTTCACCCTATGCAGCCCCGACAGCAACCCAGCCCTTTCCATCAAACCCCCCATTAGCGTAAGCAGCCCCTCTACCTCTTCCTCTACCTTCAAAGCCGAGGTCGATACCTTTCGAACCCAAATGCCATACGCAGGTGCACACACGCATATACGCAACAGAAAACACTTACGCACTTCTTCTATTCCAATACGCGCGCGTATGCGCCCAACGAGCACACTAGCTCCTGAATTACCAACTTGTTCCAAAAGCGGGTTCGTTCCAAAAAGGCAGGCAACTTGCCGTACACAGGTTTGCGCCGTAACATCTCCCTCTCGACAGCTCCTCCTCAGCATCCCAACAAGGTTCTACCTCGGCTTTTTTACTTCCCGCTCCTCCAACTCTGTCCTTCGGGCCCTTCCCCCAAAGCTACGATGCCGCCGCCGATCCAGGCCGCTGGATAAACAGACCTTCATAGTCTGCCGGCCTCTCTCATCCATTATTAGCCCCCACATTGACCGTCACTAAGACCGTCCAGCTACAGACAACCAAACCTATGTTAATACCTTTATTCATTACTATTAATACGGTTATATTTAAGCGGCCGAAACGGCTCGGCCGGCCCAATAAAGCAAAAAGGCCGCGGACGTCAAAAGACGAGCCAACCGCATAACTTTGCCGGCAAGAGCGCGCCAAACATGGAAGGCTGACACCCCCTCGTTAGCGCGATACCCAAACCGAGAAGCCACTAAAAAGCTAACCGCAACACCGGGATCGGTTTCTCCTACTTCCCCTGCCCCCTCGTCTCCCCACCCCTGCTGCGATGCTGCTATGCAAGCAATCCAACGCCCCCACGGGGTGCCTCCTTATTTCTGTCAGTGGCCGAAAGTCTATAATCCATATTGGTCGAAAACAGTAACCGGTAACTCTGCATACCATAACGGAGTATAAATTTAAAACTGCGCTGCCCAAGACACCAGAAGAACCCGTGCCAGAGACGACGCAAGTTAGTTAGCGCAAAAAACAGAAACAGGGACAACGCCTTTTCAGGACTCTAACCCCCCACATTCTCAATACCAAACACAGATGCCCTAAAGGCGTTAGCAGCTCACCAGCAATGACATCAACATCAACAACGACAACAACAACATGTCTATACATTGCAGCCTTGCGAATATAGTGTGTGGGTTGAGCGTGTGCGTGTGTATGTGTGGTGCGTGCCGATATTTGCATGCGAAACCGCCGATAGACAAAACACGGCCACCACGTCTTTGACATCCATTCCATACACCACACGCCACCCAACCCAACGCAACAGCATCAGCAGTTCAGGATGGCGTAATTTGCAACGAAGAGCCGTACTGTGGTGCACGTAAACGTACATTATGATGAAACGACGTCCATGGACGCGAGTGGTCCTCACCGTATCATCCTGATCCACATACGCTGGGCCGACCTGCTCTCGTTGACCCCTCAAAAGGCGTTCTGGGACTCGTCCTGATGCACATTTGTTGTTTGTTGGAACCTCAATCGATGCTCCCCAGCGTAGTAGATGCCAAAGGTCACAGGACACAACCGCGCCGCCGCCGATACAACCAACTGCGACCACCCCACTGAAGACCTTGGCAGCGGCAACCGTTTATGGATACTCCCCAGGAAGACTCTTAGTACCCTCACCCGCGCTTCACAAACGGCTTGTGCGAAGCACCTCCGTTAGCCAACTAGAAGTGCTGGCAACGACAGCTACCCCCCCCCAATGAGCACTACACTCCCATAACAGATAACTCCCCAAACAACAGTAACCTCCACAGGAACACCCCCCATCTGAGCGACATACGCGGTAAACGCCCGAGCATGTGCGTCTGCGCATGCACGCACCCGCTTAGCCACCACCCACGCACCCACCGGAGCCAAGAAAAAGCCCCCACGCCGGCCCCCACGTCGCCGCCGCCGCCACCGCAGCTTCCCGTACCAGTACCATGGATGTGAGAGAAACAGCGTCTGTGGCGCGCGAGCTGTGTGGCGAGAATCCAGCATGAGTATCCATCCAGCCTGTGTATTCAATCGCACGGGAGTTGAACGTGTATCGTGACGTTCAGTCGCGACCATCCTACGGCTCCGCACTTCCACCTTCCAATCCTCGTCCATTCCGCGCGACTACTGCACTAAAATTGGGCCCTCTACATTGCTCCCAAAAACCCTCAACACCGCCCTGTGCTGCCCCCCATGCAGGCACTCAACTGCCTCCGCTCCCAAACTTTAAACCCCCACTTAATGTTGAGTAAGGCACCATTCATTTGACATGCCTGTCGTTCAACCGCCTGACGGGGACACGCGAGGACTGATTACGCTGGAAAAGTGCAAAGACCAGCCTTATCGCCTGAAATCCAGGCAACAACGGGGTGGCTGCTGCTGTAGCTGCCGTTGCCGCCGCCGCGCGCTGCCGCCAAAAAGATGAAAGAATCCTCCAAACCCACACACAAGAAAGATCGACAACCAACAGCATCCACCGCCATCTTTGTCCATGCCGCCATACCAGCTGCAGCACCACCACCCTCTCCCCAGGCGACGCACCTCATACAGCTCAGCATATGCTGAGCTCGAGGTAACGGTTGCCCAGATAATGACGGTTGAGATCGCGTACGGCACGTAGGGCCTCCTGAGGGCTGCTAAAGCTCAGCCACGCCTCACCCGAGGGGCGGCCCAGCTGATCCAACCCAATCTGCAGCGTGTCGGGCAGGAAATGGTACGACTGGAAAAACGCCAGGATCTCACTCGGGCTGCTGCCGTACGGCAGGCCGCGGATCTTGATCGTCGGCGAGGTGGCGGCCTGCACCACGCGCGCGCCGGCGGCGATGAAATGCGCGCCTTGAGGTGGCGGCGGCGGCAGGTGGTGAAGCGCCTGGGCTGCGAGGGCAGCCTGGGGGATGACCTGGGCGGCACGGGGCAGCTGACCTGCGCCGGCGGCTGCGGCGACGCCTTGCATGGCCCCCGCGGCGGCTTGCATGGCAGCACCCTGTGCAGCAGCGGCTTGCATGGCGGCGCCGTGTTGCTGTTGCTGGCCGGCAAGGCTGAGGCCAGAGAACTGCGCTGCGAGCTGCGCTGGGGACTGGTACGGCAAGCCGTGCGCGTGTTGGGTTTGGAGCTGCTGGGTGGGTTGCTGCTGGGCCGCCGCTTGCTGCTGCTGGTAGGTCGCAGCTTGCTGGTAGGCGGGCTGCCTGTTGTTGGGTTGGGCGGTTTAGGGAGGGAAGGGTAGCAAGGGGGGAATGGGGCTTGAGTTGGGCTGGGGAAAAGTTGGGAATCGGGTGGCTAGGTGGTAAGAAAGTAAGGAAGTTAAAGGGGCGCCATTTTACCCGGGGAAAGTGAAGGCGGCATGGGTGAGCCGGCTGTTCAGCCCTGCTAGAGAGAAGTAATAAGCATACATTAACAAGTAGCAACCCATGTCTGTGCAGTCATGAGATACCAAAACAACTTCGCGAGGGATGGCAGACATGCCCCCAACACGCGCCAAATGAAACGTGCACGACCAAGTCCATAGTGGCTTACCAGAGCCGTGACTCAACCGGCAACTGGCTAGGTACTCCCGGCTGCCCATATGGTGCGTTTATGCCTGCGTTGGGCCCAGCTCCAGGCGGCCCCATGGTCATGATCGGCCGTCCGCCCGGAAGAACAGTGGGTACAAGCTGGACTGGTCCGGTTGGCATAAAAATGGCATTATTTCGCTGCTGCTGAGACCGCATCATACGCGAGCGCAACTTCGCAGCTGCTCCCGGAATGGCGAGCGTGCCAAGCCGCACTTGCTCCTCCATTTCCGATCGAGGCACGTGCAAAAGCCGAACATAGCGCTGCCCGATGTATTCGCCGTTCTTGGACAGAGCCTGCATAGGGCATGCAATGATCCACGGCTACGGCACTGCTCGGCCCCAACAGTGGGTTCGCAAACCCACCTTCAAGGCTTCCTCTTTGCTGACAAACTCCGCAAATGCCTGCGGCAACCAAACGCCATGGGGTCAGAAGATATTATTGCGAAGTGCGGCAACCTGGGCACAAGGTCAGGGAGTAAGTGACCGCAGAGAATGCAACATATATCTGAAAAACGTGCTAGCTCCATAACTGTGTCAGGCAAGGATTTAAGGCAAGTACCAAAGGACAGACTTAACGCACTGACCGACGTACCAGGCCGCTGGGACGACCGTCCGGTTCATATACAAAGCTCACGCCCTTCAACTCGTAAGGAGCAAAAAATTGGCGAATATCCTCCTCCGTTGCCGAGTAAGGAAGGCCCCTGCAATTGGCATTAGCGCGAAACGCGTGGAACCAATGCGGAGAAGACAACCAGTCAAAGGATTGTGCAAAACTAACTTAAGCTTAAGGATGGCAGAGCTCTCCACCGTCGGGCGTTGCCTCGCCAAGCCCTCGCCCAGCCCACCGCTGGGCGTTGCGCTGACGAAATTGTTAGGGCCGGTGGCTTGAGCAGCGGTAAGATCAGGCTGCGATAGAGGATCCATCCTAACAGCAAAACAATTTGTGGCTAGTGAACTTTTGAGGCCTCGTCAACTGCTTGGTATACTCAGGACCTTAGGTCGGCCTTGTAAGATTCTTAGCAGTTTCCTCGTACGTTACAAAGCAGCATGTGAGCAAGCGAGTTCTGTTGAAGGAAAGAAGTGTTTTCTCGTCAACGTGTACTACAGCTGACAAGTTCTAGGGCTGCGATAATAAGGAAACAACTTTATGCAGGTGTTCTTAGCGTAAAAACAGTAAAGAAGCGTCAACCAAGAGAGGGTCCAAGAATGATTGTACAGTTCTTCCCGGTGTACGGACACTGTGAACTCTGCATCGACAGGCCCAACGCGGCGGTTTCTCCTACAATGTAATGCACAATGCAACACCCTACACAGGAGTATGCGAGTTGTGCTCAGATTCCTTCTCCCGTATAATGTACTGAATTCCAAATGAGTGTGCCAAGCACACGTCATGCCTCTCCTGACAGACTTTTTCTTTGGCTATTTGAATAATACTTTCCGTAATATACCTTTTTGCTTTGGGGCCTGGGACGAGGTGTCGTTAAACGTCGTAATCATGGTAATCCCCGGTCATAGTCGTGTGCCCGAGCACCTTCCGAAAGAGGAACTTTTGCGGTGCAACTGGGTTTGACCAGAGTCACCATTGTTCAGCCGGTACCCATGGCTGATAGCCTGGCCTAGGCGGGCCCTTCGCTTAGGCGGTGGGCGCAGCGGACGAAAACAGTTAGTCTTCTCAGACGCTATCCAGTAGTTAGCAAGCCTGGGCAAAAGATGTCTATGCCATTCAGCTTTAGTACCAGCATGTGGAAGGATTTCCTATCGACCCAAAGACAAAACCAAGGCATGCGACATGGCTCTGTCCTAAGGGTTGCCCAATGCGCGCGCAGCGTCGGCAACGATTTATGCCCTTGCTGGCCCCTTTTTTGGCTGGAAGCAATATGCACGGTATATCGCATATTTATCTGCTTCCGCTGTTCGTAAACGAAACGTGCGTGCAGTGCTGAATTGGCGCGCCATGCACAGAATGATCCAGCAGAAGGCTAAACCTGGGTTCAGCATGGACATTTCACATTTGGGAGTTGGCGTACTACCGTCACCTGGAATGTCATTTCCCCCAGCAATTTCAGCTAGGCGCTTTGAAGTTGGAAGAGAGTAAGTGTTTCTGCAGAGGAGGAGGACAGGGTTCCAAAGTAACAAGCAATACGTCGGACCCTCATTGCGGTTACAGCAGCTTTGTGACCTCGCCTCCAGACTTCTACGGGTTATGCCCGTCGGAAAAGCCCATTTTAATTTGAGCTTCAATATCATATCACAGCAAATGGCATAGCTTCGATCCCATGCCCTCACAACAACCCTCGCTGTCCCGGTGGGAAATACGCCTTGTTTCTCTTGGGGACGCCTGAAAGGTGTGCAACTTGCCGTACCGGTATTCCCATGTTGCAAATGGTAGGGCGAGCTAAACGCTTGCTGGTATAGGGTGCATACCTTTTGCGCACGCCGAAGCCGGTTTCCCAATTGGGTTGCTGGCATACTCGACAACGACGGCTTGGCACTTAAGCCGTACGACACATGATACATTTCGCGGATGTGCATATGTAAGTAAGTGCAGTACTCTTTAGCAGCCGAGTTCACGCCGCTCGAGACATGTACTGCGGCAAGGCAATCACCACATTTCAATATTGAAGATGTATCCCTCCATGACCCTTTGTCGCCCGTCGCCAAAGCCCATTCCTAAATGGCTTGCATCCGGGATATGTACACGAAAGGCCATCGATATTGTATGTAGATTACTTGGTCTTTGACTGCCGATGGCTGAGCGACTGCGCGTTATAGTAATACGCCCTAGACGTTCAGGAGCCCCATGGCCTTTGCAATCCATTGATCTTAGTTCTTGGAGGTTGGGGATACCCAGCCTCTGGCAAAAGTAGGCAAAGTTTTCAACCCAAGAGCGCGACCCCTTGTTAATCCTAGAAAATGGAGCGCTCTAAAGAGCTCAGCTTTAGTGTAAGGAATAGCGGAGATGTTGCTCAGCCTGTTGGGAGCTCGCCGGGCTTCGTGGGTGATTTGCAGGTGTGTGGAACGGCCATTGAACCCTTGGACGTCTAAGCTATAGCCGTAGTGCTGAAATTGTTCTTCCATCGCATGCAGCTTCTATCTGGCGAAGAGTTGGAGGCAAGGCTGCAGGTGTGTCGGGTCGAACCATCCTGGCTCGTCATACAGGCTCGTAAGGGCTTGGGTTGTCGTTGGCGGCCATCCCGCGGCACGTCGGACCTATGCCTTGCCCCCCACCACTAGACCTTGTCGTCCCATGAGGCCATTCACATTCCCACGGGCACCCCTCCGTTCTGTCGGAACCCCGGCACAGATCCATGAGCGCATTGGTGGTGGATCTAGCGCTCGTGTTTACCGGGGCACCTTGGACAGCAGCGTCCCTGTGGCCATCAAGGTCTTGCACCCGCATGCAGCTCAGCGCGAGTCGACCTTGCAGGTGCGTCCTGGCAAAGGGAAAGGGAAGGGTGTGTGCGGGCGGGGTTGATTGGAAGCATCAGCAGGGCTTATCGACTGAAAAGTTACTCCACCCTGGAGCCCAGGGGCGCAAGGGAGCACAGGGAGCCGGCCACGGGCTGGCCCACGTGCTCTGCTGCTCGTCCTAGGTGCTGTCATACCCCTGCCCGTTCTCGTGTCCCCTCTCTTCTCTCTGGGCCCCCTTTGCTTTACTGCTTTTCCCTGGGGGTCTGGCTGCCGACAAAGCAGCCCAGGGAAAACCTTGACAAAGTGCACGCCCCCCCTACCCTGCCTTGCCCCTCCCGCTCGCTCGCCTGTGCTCGCGCAGGAGTTCTGGCGGGAGGCGCAGATCCTGGCCCGGTTGCAGCACAAGTGCGTGCGGCTGTTGTGGGCGGGATGCGGGCGGGGTTTGGCTGCGGCAGCGGGAGCACAATGATGTATATCAGTAAAGCAGTGCGGACTGAGCTCAGGGTTGATTCCAAGGGCAAGCACTTGGCCGGGGTTGCTGCTGCCGGTGTACGTTGCAAATCAGCTGGCCTCATGGCCGCACCCGTGGGCCGTTTTGCCCCATGCCCCTGTTTACTAGCACCTCACCCGGACTGGTCATGACATTGCGCTCCTGTTGGAAGGGTGTAACGTCCCGGTGTCCCCGGATGCCGGTTCAACGGCATGACGAGCGGCGCTGTTTGCTTTGTTGGCTGCGGTTGCGGTCTCCTCGCTTGGTCATATTACACTGCCCGCTGCATGCGCATGGTGCCCGCTGCAGGCACATCGTGCGGTTGCATGCGCTGGCGCACTTGCCGCCCAATTTTGGCGGTTTGCCCACTCGACGGTATACCTGGGGCATCGTTACGGAGTACATGGAGGTAAGCCCATGTGAACTGGATGACCCCATGCCTAGCATTCCCCGCCTGATGCGGAGAGGAGGAACTCGGGGCTTGGCGATCTGGCGTGATAGGTGGGGTATGTCACATGATTCGTGGTTATGATAATACTCCCCTGGGAACTTGATTGTCCTGTCCAACCGCCCAGGCCGGTACCGTTACTAAGCTGGTCCAGGACGCCGCCAAAGCCTACAAGCTGCAGCAGCGCTTCAGGCAGCAGCTGGCGGCGGCGGCGGCGGCGGCGGCTGCAGGCGGCATCTCGGCGGCGCAACCGGAGCGCTCTGGGTCGCTCAGAAACCTCAAAAACAGCCTGTCCTTCCTGCGCCGCCGCTCCCTGACTGCCGAGGGAGCAGCAGTCGCGCCGCCATCGCCCATGAAGCGTGCCGCTGCTGCTCTGCAGCAAGCCGTCTCGCCGTCAGGCGGCGGCGGCGGTGTTGCTGCCGCCGCCACCGCCGTCGCTGTCACCGCCGCTAACCAGCCGGGTGTGTCCAGCCGGGTGCCGTCAGTGATGCATGAGGCGCCGCCGCCGCTGCCGTACAGCGACCGGGAGGCGCTGCAGTGGTGCATGGAGCTGGCGCTGGCGTTACAGTTCCTGCATGCCCAGACGCCGCCCGTCGTGCATCGCGACGTCAAGACGGATAATGTGCTGATGGCGGTGGCGGCGGTGCCGCCGCCGCCGGCGCTGGCGGCGGCGTCGACGGTGGTGACGGCGTCGGTGCCGCTGGCCACCCTTCCACGTGGCGGTACGGAAAACGGCGGCGGCGGCGGCGGCGGAATACTGGGTATTCCCAGCTCACATGGCAGTCTGGCACGGCGGGTGTTGTCCATGAGGGCGGTGGCGGCGGCGCTGGGAGGAGGGGAGAGCGGGCAGGCGGGGTCACGTGCGGGGTCGGTGACGGCTGTGAGCTCCCGACCGGGAGGCGGGCGGCCGTTGACGGCGAAGCTGTGCGACTTTGGGTTGCATGTGGTGGGTTGCATGCAGGGACACGCATGCCTCGGGTTTGGGTGTCCGAATCACGGTCCAGGGTCCACATGTTTTGTACTGAATTAAACGTTGCCCATGCGTACTATTGGTACCGGTACTGCCAAGCACGTCCGCATAGGGATTAGTCAGCGTGCGGTGCTCTTGCCCCGCCCCCTAGGTGATCATGCGCCCTCCCTTGCGCGACTTTGTCTCGTGTCCTCACACACGCGTGGTGCGACCTCACTCCGTCGCAGGTCCTGGACTTGAGTCGCCCCGTGGTTACCGTCCGCCGCAGCAGCTACGACCGTACCTCCTCCACCGACGTCCTGCCCCAGGGCAACGGCCACGCCGCATCCCACCTGCCGTACTCCAACTCCCTTACACGTCCCTCGGCGCGCAACTCTCCCGCCGGAGGCGGATCCGGAACCGGATCCGCGTTGGGTGCCGTACTCGCGGGTGCGGGTTCCGGCGCTAGCGCCATGGGAGCAGCTGGCATGATGGTGGGGGGGCCTGGCAGTCGGTACGATTCTCGGTCGAGGCGGAGCAGCACTGTGTCGAATCGGGGTCTGGAGGAAGCGGTGAGCTTGTGGGATGGGGAGATGCCGGGAGGTGTGATGTGCATGGGGACCGGGTGTAGGTCTGAGGGTATGCTTGGTTCCGCTCCGTATCAGGCTCAAGGAGTAAACCGCTGGATGTGGCATACACCCGACAGCCATCCGCCATGCACATTGCTTTCCTCGCATGCCGGCACCACCCCACGGCCACCGCCTGGCAACGCAACCCGTCTCAACCATGCAACACCCTCACTCATCACCTCTGCCACACCCTCAGGTGTTCATCCGGCGCAATGCCTCCCGGGAGGGCGACTCCTTCTCCTCTCGTCCTCAGCCGGGACTCAACCACAACAAGTCCTCAGCCCTATCCCACTGTGATTCCCTGGACCCTTCCGGACCGCAAGCAGCCGCCATCGCCGCAAGCTGCGCATCCAGCCCGCCAAAGGCGCCCGTGGCGGCCTTTGGCGGCGCCGCGGCGGCGGCGGCGGCCGCCGCCGCGGCGTTCGGCACAAACCCCAATGTTGTCGGCGGCATCGCCCGGCTTAGCTCGGGCCCTGTAAACAGCATGGGTGCGGGATCGACGTGCGGCAGCATGCACGGCATGATTGGCGGCGGCGGCGGCGGCAACAGCGGCAGGGTGTCTCGTGCTAGCGGCACCGGCGCCATCAATGGCGGAGGCAGCAGTGTGCTGCTGCGTAGCCCTAAGACCAGCGTTCCCGGCAACGGTCCTGGCCCGCCGAAATGGTCGGGTGGGAGTTCCCTGGCGGGTCAACAGCAGCAAGGGTCGCTGACGGGGGTTGCGGCGGCGCGGGCGTCGCTTGACTTGCTGCTCCAGGGGCGCATGTCAGCGTCCGCGGCAGTGGCGGCGGTGTCAGCCGCCGCTGCCGCCGCCGCAGCGGCGGCGGCGTCAGCCTCAGCTCAATCAGGAGGGGCAGCGGGTACCAACGCCGCCGCCGCCGCCGGCAACAGCGGTGGCATCGCTAGCGTTGGCAGCGGCAGCGCCCTTCATGCGCATCCCCACCACCCATCGGTTCAGCAGCTACTGCAACAGCAGTCCTCGGCGCAGGCATTGGCGCACGCGCTGGCGGCAGGAGGCTCCTCGGCGCCCACGATGGGGGTCATGGATAGCCTGAGTGCGGGCCAGGTGTTGCTGCATGTGCAGCCCGCTAGTGCCAGCGGCATGTCGGACCGCGTCTCACGCCTTCGTCCCTCGCATCCTGGACCGCCGCTCGCGACCTCAATGGGCGACAATGGGTCGATTGGGTCGCTCGGCGGAGACCCCAATGCTCCGCCTCGGTTGCCAATGCGAACCAGCAGCGGTCGACGCAGCGCCAGCAATGCAGCAGCGGCGATAGCCGCGGCGGCGACGGCTGGCGGTGTTAGTGGTGCGAGTGCTGCGTTGAGCACCCTGGGTACGGAGGCGGCTGCGGGCGGGTCGGGACCCACGGGTCGGTGTCCGCGGCCGAGTGGGGGCTCGCCGGCGGCTAATACCAGGAATGCAACCCGGCTCCGGAGCACTTCGGCGCAAGTGGCGCAGGTGCGATCCTCCCCTTGAGGGGTCCTCTTGTGGGTCCATGGCATAGAACGCGGACAGGCATGATGCTGGGACGTACCTGTACGGAGGTTGCAATCCCTGCCCGGATAGCGCTTTGCCCTGTCCTTCCTCTTTCCTTCTTTTCCCACCTCGCTTCCGAACTCTCTTCCCTACCCTCCTCATCGCCAAACACGCCTCACCGCTCCCGCGTTCGTTAGTCGCTTCCGCTTTACCTCCCGCCCCGCCTCTCCCCTGCATGCAGTACCTGGCCATGATGGAGGAGGACCTCCAACTGGACACGGCGTCTAGGACCTCATCAACGTAAGCATTCAGACTCCTGCGCTTTGACACGTCCCATGGCACGCTAGGAGATTAGGAGTAGGAGAGGCAGCGGTCCTGGGGACTCTCGATGCCGAGTGGCTCATCCCGATGTGTGCTGGGAAGCATGGCTTTACTTGCGACGTGATGCCGCAAGGGGTTGACCTGCGTGCCGGGTGGGAGGTACTTATGCACTGAGTGGTTCGGCTTCAGGTGCTGCAGTCCAACGACGCCCAGCGCCGCATTCGGGCACTCGTTGTCGACCCTTTAACTCCTTCACGCTCACGCGACCCGTTCCCGCCTCCTATCCCCTTTGCCTTACCCTAACCTGTGGCTTCCTATGTTATGGTGTATGGTTGTTTGACCCCACCCCACCCCCAACTACGGTAACCCCGCAGCGGTGGCCCCATGGCGAATGTGGTGGCGGGCGGAGGCTCCTCCGGCGCTCCTCCTCATCATCATCAGCAGCCGCTTGTGACGCTGTCCAATCGAAGCATACTCTCGGCGGGCCATAGCCAGGGACACCTGACGGTTGTGACACATGCCCAGATGCTGCAGGTAGGCATGCTACATGTGTTCTTTTTTCCCGGGAATCCGAATCAATAGCCGCAGAGCTGACACTGTGACCTTGGTTGTTGCGTCGCGTGCCGGTGTGTTAAGAAAACGTGCCGGTGTGTGCACGGCGCGCGCTTTCTACCGGTATGTGGTCGTGTTGCGTTAGGGGCCGCCTGCTAGCTGTCTGACTGCAGTATCCTTAGGCGCACACTACAATTACCAGCGGCTCGTCCTTCCATCTCTGGCTCAGTACCTCCTGCCGTTGTCGCTGCACCTTTTTATTGCTCCTTTGCATGCACAGGGCGCCGTATCCGCCAGCCGTTTGAGCCCTGGCGGCAGCATGCTGCGGCACAGCCCCTCAGCCCCGCGCCCCTCCGGCTCCAACAACCCCATCAATCTCCGCATGACCTCCAGCCAAAGCCTCTCTGCACGCCTCAGCGGCGGCGGCGGCATCGTGGCAGCTGCCGCCGCCGCCGTCGCGCTGCATGGAGCGCGTCAAGGCCCCAGCGGCAGCGGCAGCACGACCGTCGTTAGCACCGCAGCACTCGCCGGCGCAGCGCCCAGCGGCGCCCAAAGCGAATCCAACACGGGGCCCGTTCCCGCACACCACCTGACGGGCATGGACGGCCCGACCGATGTTGACGAGCCGGGGGGTCCTGGGGGTGCTACTGCTGCTGCTGCTGCTTCATCCGTTGCTTCTCCCAGCGGCGCTGCTGCCGCTGCTGCCGGGACCACCTCCTCAGCCTCCGGCATGAAGGAGCGCAGCGAGCAAGGCATGATTGTGCTCACAGGCAGCGGCAGCAGCGCCGTCTTAGCAGCCAAGCGCGGCAGCTCCCTGGGAGCTCCGCCCGTCATGCAACAACGGTATCCCGGAGGCGGAAGCGGCGCTGGCGTTGTTGGCGGCGGCGGTCTGGCCGCTGTCGGCGTTAGCGCTGACGGCCGAATCATACGCGGGGGCTTAATCAATCGGCATCCACTGCCCGGCAGCCCCTCCGCCCTGCGCGGCCCCAACCCCACCAAGAGCAACAGCCAGCCCACCATGTCAGTCACGGGGGAAGCACGATCCATGCCCAACCCCGCTGCCGCATCCCATGCCAGCGGCAGCCCAGGCAGCGGCAACAGCAGCGGCGCCGGCGCCTCCGCCACCGTCGGCGGCGGGTTGGACCGCTCCTCCAGTTACATCTCTCCCTTCCTCCGGCCTAACCCCATGAAGAGCAGCAGCCAGCCCTCCATGAAGGTGGGGTTCCCCGTTGCAGCCGGTGGCGCTGCGGGCCGGCTGGGACCCGGCGGCGGAAGTACGGCACTGGGTCGTACGGCATCACACGGCAGTAGCCGAATGATGCGGAATCTTGGGCCGGCGCCGGTGATGCCGGCGTGCGGGGGATCTCCAACGGACAGCGTTCATCCCATGGATCTGAGTCCGCCAGTTGCCAGGTGAGGTGGGAGAGGGCCATGACACCTTGACATGTGAGCTTGATGAGGCCATGAGGCACGAGAGAGGGGGCGTACTCATACCGGTATGCATGTGGACGGTGAGAACGTAAGAGGCGGTAGGAGAGGTGTCGATTCACCGCTGCGCTGCGGACTGGGGGGCTTTCGGGGGGCTCCAGGTAACACGCGTCGTGTTATTGGCTCTGGTCTTGGCTGTCGCACAGCACCTACCGCTTACGGTGTATCGGTTACTAACACCATCTCTCTCTGCGGCCTCTCGTTGTTCGTTCTTTCAGGATTGCCAAAGCCACGAGTGCTCGTCGGCTGGCAGGTCCATCTCTAAGCCCCTCCGCCGCATCAGTGACGCCCGGGACAGGCACAACCGGCAGCATCACCCCCGTGGCGGAGGACGAAGTAGCACAACGGCAACGCAGCGTCAGCACCCCAACCGCCTCCCACCCCTCTAGCGCTGCCGGCAGTGCGTTAGCGCGACGCAACCGTCAACCGTTGGAAGTTGCCGTACCAGCAGACGGTTGTTACGGAGGTTCCGGAGCCACGCCAACCGCAAATACGGCACCGCAGGTGCCGCATCTAAACATTGCCGGACAACCAACCGGCAGTGGTAGGGATGTAAATGGTAATGGCGTGGGGAGCGGCGGGTATGCCAGCCCTACGAACGTTGGCGGCGGAGGCGGCGGCAGCGGCCGACAGTGGGTTGCGACGGTGACGTCAGCCGCCGCTTCGCCTCGAACGGGCGAGGTCGGCGGCGCTGCCGGCGGCGCCGCTCATGCCGTGAACGACGGCAGCATGCTTCCCTCAGCTCACGGCCACGCTGCGGGGCCACAGATCCTCAATCGCGAGCTGCATAAGGTTGTCAAGAGGTTAAGACCCGACGGCGGGTCCTTCACAGGATCTGGAAGCTCGCCGCTGGGGTTACCCCCCATGGGTCCTAGCCACCCCGGCGGCGGCGACAGTGCCGGCGGCGCCGCCGCTGGCGGCGGCGGCGGCGGCACTGGCCCCGGCGGCTCCTTCAGCTACAGCAGGCGCTCGTCCATCGACTCGCACGGACTGTTGTACAACAGCATCGCCTCCGCCAGAAGCGCGACGGCGGCTCTGCAAGCTGGCGCCGTCGGCGGCGGCGCTGCGGGCGGCGGCGTGACGGCGCTGCACCGGGAGAAGTTGCTGTGGGGACGCGGCTTGCTGACGGCTGGCGGAAGCCCCGGCGGCGCAGCCTCCGCCGCCGCCGGCGGCGGCGGCGGCACCGGCAGCGGCGCACTCCACGTCACCGGCGGCGTGCCATCGGGTATCTTTGCGAGTGACCCAAACTCCCCCGTCAGCAGCTACGGCCCCGTCGCTGCCGGCTCCAGCGGCCCTCTGGTCGGCCGGCATGGCGCCCGGGCTCTCGGCGGCGCAGCATCGCACATGGGAGGTGCGATGGGCGCCAGCGTTGCAAGCGCCGCTGGGTCCATGACGGGGCCGCTGGCGTTCCAAAGCAGCGGCGGCGGCGGCGTGGGGCCCAGGACCACTAGCTGTGGTGCCTCCGCCAGCCGTGTTAGCAGCGGCGCAGGTGGGCACCGGGCAGGGTTAAGAATAGTACGCAACATGGAACCGCGGCACTTGGCGAGGTAATGGACCGGTTGTCCCGTCGCTGCTCGTTCGCCCTAGGGGCATCCATGATCCATGAGCCCGGTATCCCTCGCTTTCTGCTTTCCGTATAAACCTACCCGTGTCCGTTCCTTATACCTTATTACCTTGTTCCCTTGTTCTTCGGCCTCCTTGCACACGCTTTCCCAACCAACCGCAGAGGAGCGCACCGCCCGTCAACCCAGCTTTGTACGGCGCAGCAGCAGCGTACACTCCAATACCGCGGCGTCATGGGGCGAGTATGCCGCGGGTGCTCTCGCTGGCGGCGGCGGTCCTGGCGGCGGCGGCGGCGGCGGCATGGGCGGTGGCGTTGTCGCTGGCGGCGCGGGCGGTCGTACATCCCTATCCCGTGCTACCACGGGTGCCAGCCTACGCATCCTGCAGGGTGCTGGAAGCGGCAGCGTCATGGCACATGGAGCGTACGGGGCGGCGGCGGCAGCAGCAGCAGCAGGCGGTGGAGCAGCAGCTGCGCAGGCCCCGACAGCGCTTGTGTCGCCGCTGTTGGCGCATGTGACTGGGGCCGCCAGCCAAGTCAGCTCGTCTGTAGCGGCGGTGAGTACCGGTGTGTGGTGGACTTCGGGTGTGAAGGACATATAGCGGCGGTAGCGGCGGGGACCAATGCAGGGAGGAAGCAGCGTAAGCAAAGCTCTCTGCTCTGGTCTGGTAGCTATCCGTAGCTATGTGTGTTAAGAAAACTGGCCGCGAGTAGGAACGTACTGGGATGTCGGAAGATGAAGTCCCCACAGAACCGCCGCAGGAGCCGATATGTGTGTGTGTGTGTCTCATGTAGTGGACACAAACGGTTGTCAACAACGCTGCGCACACCACAACGCAGCATGCAATGAAACGTGTGCTCGTTGAAGCCATGGCGGGGCCCTGGCATCTGTTTTACTGCGTTCCTAGCCCATCACCTTCAACCCGCCCCCCCCCCCTCCACCCAAGCACCCCCCTCCTTCCACTGCCTTACCTGCGCCCCGCAGCGCATGGTTTCGGAGAGCGCCGTGAGCAGCACGCTAGGCGGCTGGACGGGACGTGATGAGCTGCCTCCTCAGGGCGAGGCGGCGTACGCACTAACAGGGCGGGCAGGCACACTCATGTACATGGCTCCGGAAGGTGAGGGGGCGAGGCGTGGTGGGCCACCCATCCAAGCGTTTGAGAAACACGCACACCCTGGGAATACGTTACAGTGCACTCGACAAGAAGCCGAAGTAGTACCGGGAACGAAGAGCCGCATGGAGGTGTTTGTCTCGGTTAGGTTGCCCAATCGATTTCCTCCCCCCCCCCAATCCTCACCTCATCCTTCATAACGCACCCCCAATTCTCACCCCGCCCATCCCCGCATGCAGTCATCCGCGACGAGCCGTACAATGAAAAAGTCGATGTCTTCAGTTTCGGTGTCGTACTGTACGAAGTATTCGGTCGTGTACTGCTGCTTGAGATGTACAGCAAGGACGAGCTCGAGGCTCTGAGCAGCCGCATCGCGCAGGGCTACCGGCACCACCGCCCCGAGTGCATGCCGCAAACCATCTGGGACGTGGTACAGCAGTGCTGGGCGCAGGTGTGTGTGTGTGGGGGAGGTAACGGCGGGTGCACCACCAATGGTCCTGGTGGTGACGGTGGGTATAGAAGCGGGTGTTATTCTGGCTCACAATGGCCACCTCCGTTCCTTTCCGCCCCATGCATGCACCACGTCATCAGCCCCATCACACGGTGGCTGTACCTCCCCCATGCAGAATCCCGCGGATCGCCCCTCCATGCCGCTGGTTGTACGGCAGCTGGAGCTGGCTATGGAAGCCATGATGGAGGCCGAGGCAGCCGCCGCCGCCGCTGCAGCAGCAGCGCACCGACAAGGCTCCATCTTTGGGGAACTTGCAGCCGGAGGGCTGGGGCTGGGAGGTGGTGGCGGCGGCGGGGGGGGTGGCAGCGGCATGGGCAGCGGACCTGCATCACCCATGATTGGAGGAGGTGGAGGTGGAGGAGGAGCAGGAGGCTTGGGCAGCGGGGTCGGCGCGGGGCTGCTGGGCGGGAAGGAGCGAGGCAGTGGGCGCAGCTTGACGAGTCATCGGAGCGTTGGGTGGGTGGTGGGATGGGTCAAGGGGTGAGTGAGGGTTCTGGGCGGGGCGGCTGGGAGCGGGGTTGTGGGAAAGGATAATGCTTGGCGGGGGTTCATTGGGGATGTGGAGACGCTAGGTGCCTTGGTGCGCGGGGGCTTTGGAGTGCGGGCGGTTGAGGGTCGGTCGGTTGGGTGTGCCAACCGTGCCATAGAGTGTATCGCTATGTGCCCCATGCTTCAAGGGAACCGGTAACAGAATGGCTATGCCTTGCTTCCTGTCATGTGCGATACCCCTGTTTCTCTTCGCACAAACCATCCTGCTCCTCACTCCCAACGCATGCTTCCTCTTACCCCGTTTGTTGCCCGCTGCTGCCTGCCTCTCCCCAGGTCCTCGGTTCGGGGCATCTCCCTCCGTCGCCGTCCCTCCGTGCAACGCTCGCAACCACAGCCCATGGCGCCCACGCCGGGCCGCCAACCGCCGCCGCCAGCCAACCAATCCGTCAGCGACTTTGCGACCCTCACCACCGCACTCAACACTGGCACCGGGAGCACAGGCGGCATGATGCCGCTGCAAACGACCCGTGGGTCAGTCGGCGGCAACCCCTCGTTAGATACGAATGCGTTTGAAGCGGCTCCGGAGCCGAGATGCGCGCCCTGTGGCTGCGTTATTTGCTAGCGAGTGGCTGCCAGGAGTGACTGTCGTGGGCGAACGTTTGCGCAGCGTTGTAGGAATTTGGTGCTGTCGTTGTAGTTCGTGGGTGAAAGGACTAGCGCCGAACTTACGAGCGGTCTGAAAGGTGCATTTAGCGGGTTGGATGCATGTCCTGTGCTGTGGCCATCTGCCAGGGAAGAAAGGAAGACACATCTCCTTTCTACTTAAGCGAGAGGAATGAGGCGGGCCTTGGGACGTCGGTTGCCGAAGCGCGGAGAGGGGGCCCGAGTCAGCGTGTGTGGAGGGAAAAACAGAGGAGGAGGAAGGAGTGCAGCGCCCGTCTGGCGACGAGACGAGTGAGCGAGCGAGCGCACGAAGGGAGTGCGAAGCGCGGCCAATGCCTGTTGTGGTGGATGTGAGACTGCTTAAAGACTGCTTGACGAGCGAAGAAACGCAGCGAGAGGTGTGGACAAGGCAGCGTGGGTGGTGCATGTTAGGGGAGACGTCGGGAGGTATGTTCAACCAACTGCGCGGCGGAGCAGCAGCGCAATCGCTGACCTGCGTGGTAGGCTGCAAGCAGCAGGCGTATGCCGTACTTGTTTACGCATGGCGTCTGGTTGTGCGCACGTGCGCGAGCAGCCTGTATCCGATCCGTAGGTTCGTTGCACTACCGGTTCAGAAACAGCGCGCAGGTGGGACGTTGAGGAGGGACGTGGGGCAGTTGAGGGTGGTTACTGGGGTTGTTGAATGGTGGTTACTCAAAACGCATCCGGACCTGGTGACGTCCTTCAGCAGCTGGATGGGTCTTCCTTGCATGCATGCTCTCAACCGGGGTGACGTCAGCGGGGTGCGGTGTCTGGGGCGGTCTTGCTTCTCTCGAGTGGAGGGAGGATGGGAGGGAGATGTCGAAGCTTTGGTGCCATGTTGTGCTTCCATGCTTCAAGAAGGGATTGGTGGGATCACCAGTATGGGTCGCTGCGTGCCTATTGCTTGTAGGCACGGTCAGTGTCGCCTGGATGGTCGCGCCCCAGGGTACGGTACATTAATCGCACATGCACGGTGCTATACCAGGTGCCTGGGCGCTAGGAAAGTTGAGGGAGGAGGGGCATGCGCTAACTTGCCACATCTAGGCGGGCTGTGTTGGAGGGAGAGGAAGACGGGGCAGTAGAATTCGTACCCGGTTGCAGGCACGTATGCATGGTAAGACAAGTTAAATAAGGGCTAGAGCTTTCGAGCGGTAGTGCCCCTTTTGTGCGAAGGGAGGCGCGCACCAAGTACGCGAGTTGTGGCTTTGAAAGCAATGCTCAAAACGTTTGGGAATGAGGACAATCGTGGCGAGCGTGGCGGTATTTGGCGATCGCGGTTTCGTTTTCGTGCTGGTTATGTGCATGCAAGTTGTTGCTGCTGTGATCTCGGCTGGAGTCGTTTGTCGACTGTGTTGCTGGTGTGTATGTTTATATCCTACTATACTCGGAAGGAGCTGGAAAATGTGAAACACGCACGCACGTTAAAGGCTGTTGCAGCATTTTCAATCACCGTTCCCTGCAGTTCTGTCCCGAGCTTTGGCCATAACATATCTCAAAGCAAGGTTAGCTCTGCAGTGCTGTGGATTGGCCAACGGATGGGTTTTACGGCTTTTCGGGTGTATCAATTTTCGTCGTTTCGAAACGCTGTGATCTTGCTGTTGTCGGGTGTGCTCTTTAATCCGGCGTGCTCTTACACAGTCAAAAGAGTAAGCCGACAATACCGTAGCTGCAGTGGGGTCCCCGTCCGTATGGGAGGGCCAAGGCACTCTGGCCGCTTCCAAGTAAAGGATCCTAGATCCTGGGGATGTCGGTTGTGCTAAGGAGTTGTGGGGGCCTCACAGTCAAGCTGTAGCAGTTCTGGTGGCGGAAGGGCAGTAGTCAGGCCTGTGCGTGGGCAATCCTGCGTCGGCGCGCCTGGTGCCGGCTTATTTTCGTGCGTGGTGCGGAAGTGGTAGGTAGGGTATGTAGTGGTATGTAGTATGAAGCGCGGCCCCCGACACGCTGAGGAGGGCGGTGACAAGATGAGGCGGGGGTATTGACAGTTTCAAGAGCGGTGTTAAAGGGGTCTAGGAGCAGCTAGGGACCGATACAAGAGACGGTTTTGGCAGCTGAGACGTCGTCATAGGAAACGCTGCTCGCGTTTCCTTCGCGCAGCGTTTCCTCCGTGGCTTGCTGCTTTGTTTCATCAGGGGTCATCTCGCATGGCTGTCCGCCCAGCCGTCCCTAGGACGCAGCAGGAGCAGCAGGAATAGTGCGACACGGTTTTACCTTCTTAGTTCATGACGTTAAGACGCGGCAGTCGCGCCTTAGGCCTGCCCTTACGTCTAAAGGTGCTGTTAGGCAGGCAGTAATTCCCTTTCGCGAGGGCTCACGGTGCTCAGCAGGCCTCGAACAGTTTTTACTACAGTCACGGGTAATTGAGTTCGCCTATGGTGACAACTTAGTCGCAAAGACGTGCCACTAGATGTTTGGGCGTGTGCACAAAGGTACGACATGCCCTTGAGTTTGCGCAGAGGTAGCCACAGGGCGAAGGGTAGACCGGTAGCGAGTGGCAATTGCGGGTGAGGAGGCCGAACACATGCCATGAACAGCCATTCGTGTTGCTTATCATGATCCGCTGGGGCCTGAGCATGAATGCGATTTTTCGCAGCCTCAGTCGCTCAAGCGAGCTGACACCTTCGCGCAGCTTCCTTGTCGTACCAGGGTCACCGGAAAAAACGGTATGCAAAGCAGCAGCATTGAGCAAATGCAGCTGCTGGGCAGTTTGAGTAGTAAGAATGCAGACAGAGCAAATGCGGATCCTGGCTAAAATCGCAAGAAGGCTTAGTGTACTGCATTGCGGCTAGCAAGCAGCAGCTCCTCTCACGACAACAGGTAGCGATAAGCAAAAGCTGCAACAGGAAATTAACATAAGGCATAGCTACGGCAGCTATCGAAGGCATAAGCTTTAGCAACGACGCCATCGACATGCGCTCAACAAGCGCAGTCCCTTTCCCAATCAGCATGCAGGCTGCATGCGAGGAACCAGTTGCAACGGTACCTAACTTACATAACACCTGCGTTTGAGCATGGACGCCAAACCATCAAAACTTTGCAACTAAGCGACAATCCAGAGGAACAACGATAAGAAGCCATAAGATGCAGACAAGAAAGCTAAGCGTTAAACATGTCAACATCTCCAAGGAATTGCAACAAGAAGTCACAGTGAGGAAACCGGGGAATGGAAGGAGAAGGTGCAACAACAGGTCAGAGGCAACGATAAAAAGCGCAACCGTACTTCCCCTAATGCACCGGAGGAATTTGAAAGGTAATAACTTTTGCGCATGCACGTAAGGGGGGATGGGGGTATGGGGGAAGGGGCACCAGCCCCACCAAGATGCATACGGTGCCAAAGGAGACAAGAGCTCCACAGACGGCTGCGACACTCCACGCTAGCTTCCTTTGTCGTAGAGGGGGACAACGGAAAACGGTATGCAAAATAGCACCATTGGGCACATGCAGCCGCTGGGCAGTTTATGTAGTATAAATGCAGGCAGGGCAAAGGCGGATCCTGTCTAAAGTCGCAACAAGGCTAGTTGTACTGCATTGTCACAGCTAGCAACCGGCAGCTCCTCCCATGACAGCAGGTAGTGTTATATAAGCAATGCAACAGGAAGTTAACATGTAGCAAAGCTACAGAAGCTGCGAATGACCTCAACGACGCCACCAACATGCGCTCAACAAGCGCAGTCCATTTCCCGACCACACAACACTGGCAACATCCGGGCTACAAGTATGGTACCGGTTGCAACAGTACCTCACTTGCATAAGACCAGCGCTTGAGAACGGATGCCATGCCAACAGAAATGTGCAACCCCAAGCGACAATTCAGAGGAGTAACGATAAAAAGCCGTAATATGCAGACAAGGAAAGCTAAGCGTACAACAGTTTCCAAGGAATTGCAAACAGGTCACTTACAGTAAGGGGAACGGGGGAACGGGGTGCAACACCAGGGTTGAAGGAGAACATATACCAAGAGCAAGCGCCTTTCCCTTAATGCACCGGAGACGTTCATTGGTAGCACCATGTGCGCATGCATGTAAGGGGGGATGGGGGTATGGGGGAAGGGGCACCAGCCCCTTCCCCCACCAAGATGCATAGGGTGCCAAAGGAGACAAGATCCCCACAGACGGCTGCGACACTCCACGCTAGTTCGTTCGTTCGCAGCCTCAGTCGCTCAAGCAAGCTGACACCTTCGCGCAGCTTCCTTTGTCGTAGCGGACTCAATGGAAAACGGAACGCAAAGTAACACCATTAAGCGCATGCAGCCGCTGGGCAGTTTGCTTTGCATAAATGTTGGCAGGTCAAAGGCGGATCCTGGCTAAAGTCGCAAGAAGGCTAATTGTACTGCATTGCAGCTAGCAAAACAGCTTAACAGCAGCTCCTCCCTTGACAACAGGTAGCATTTGGCAACGCTGCAACACGAAGTTAACATGAGGCATACCTACGGCGACTGCGGAAGACCTAAGCTTTAGCATCGACGTCACCGACAAGCGCTCAACAAGTGACGTCTCTTTCCCGACCACACAACACTGGCAAAATTCAGTCTACAAGTGGCTGCGAAATATATATCCAGTGGCAACAGTACCTTGCATGCATAAGACCTGCACTTGAGCACGGAGCCACGGACGCCATGCCACCAAAAATTTGCAACTAAGCGACAATCCAGAGAAACAGCAGCAAAAAGCCATAAGATGCAAACAATGAAAGCTAAGCGTATAACAACCCCCAAGGAATTGCAACAACAGGGCACTTACAGCAAGGGGATTGGGGGAATGGTGCAATATCAGGTCGGAGGCAACGTACTACAGGAGCAAACGTTTTGCCCTTGATGCATCGGAGGCGTCTGCAAGGTAGCATGTATGGGGGGATGGGGGTATGGGGGAAGGGGCACCAGCCCCTTCCCCCACCAAGATGCATACGGTGCCAAAGGAGACAAGAGCTCCACAGACGGCTGCGACACTCCACGCTAGTTACATTATGAGCATGGGCCAACAAAGCTAAGCATGCTTTGTCGTACATCACATGTGCAGCCTGGTTGGCCCGTGCGCACGCCTCAATAGACCATTCGGCAACATGGGAAGAGTTAGGGAAACACAGGGAAGTCAATTGGAGGTCTTCTAATGTGATCCTGGGGCCTGGGCAGCCCCAGACACCTGTGTGCATGTGTGGTACGGCAAAGCATGCGCAGCCTAGTTGGGGCTGGTGTACGACAATCTGGTGCTGGTGATGATATTGCACTTGCGGGATTCGTCTTATTCTGGTCTGAGTGCCCAATTTCAAGGAACACAAGTTTACTGATTGGCCTCTGGCTACGGTTCACTAGGTTCCGTTCACACGGACTGCATAATCCATAGATAGCATTCTCTGACAGGCCTCCAAGCAACAGACAAAGTCCCGCACCCATTCCCATACTAGCAACCGCAGGGTAGTCCCCTCCGACGCCGCTGGGCCCTGCAGCGGCGGGGTCATATGCATCGTAAGCCATGCCACCGCCACCGCCGTCGATGCCACTGCCCCCGCTGGGGCCTTGAGCTGACCTAGACCGAAGCTATCGTTCACGCCAGCAGCCATCGCTGTAGGAGCCGCAGCGGTCATGGCGGCTGCAGCGTTCTGCCGCACGGATGATCCCTTGTTACGAAATGGTCTGTTGAGGCCTGAGCACGGGCCAACCTGGCTGAGCATGCTTTGTCGTACAGCACATGCTCAGGGTTGCCTGGGGCTGCCCAGGTTCAGCGGTTAGGTCAACCGGTGCCCCTGGAATCATGAACCTACAATCCAGTGGTCGTCACGCGTTCTGCACTGAAGCAGGAGGGGCTCCGCCCTTTTTAAGCTTAGAGGAGGATAACCCCCTTGTTGCTTGAGAAACAAATCAACCGGCTCGTGGATTGGCGGAAGCGTACGTCGCGGAAATACACGACGGGTGATGCGCCGTACGCCGTCGCAATCGAGCCCCACCGCTCCGTCTTTGCGCTGCATGAAGGCATGAAAACGTCGTCTCATAGTTTTTCTGTTTGTCTGCCAGCCCCAATCGTGTTCTGAGGGCAAACTCTTGTTGACCTTGAGTTCGCGGGCTTTTTGTACTCAGTGGAACCGCTCCCTTACGGATACTTACCCCCAAAACTACGTTATTAGCATGTCAATGAAGTGCTATGTGATTGTTTAAGCCTACCACAGGAATGCATGCTCTGCAGTTCCCGGGCTGCTCGCCATGGCCCCTGACTCAGGGCTATGGACACCGCGAGCGAATTTTTGATGTAGCATTTCATCCTCTTAGCGACGATATTGTACTCACAGCGTCCGAGGACACCAGCTTGCGGTTATGGAGGCGGTCGGATGGCGCGGACATGTATAAGCAGGCAAGAATACCACAGCTGCCGCTCCGAGCATGTCATTCGCTTGATTGCACTTCCGTGTTTTCCAACATCACGCTTGGCCTGCGTTGCGCTGTCTCCTGTTTTACACCACCTACGAATGTTGTGTCGCGATGCCATCTCCGCAGTGCCACTGTTCCCCCGCCTAGCGACAACTGCTCATTCAGCTTCCTTTGCTCCTTATACGTCGACTCTTAGGCACTTGGCCCTTCCCCTCTACTTGCCCGACCTTGCGACAGCCCCTTCTGTGTCCCTACCGGTGTCCCTCGCTGCACCACAGGTCCGTGCCTACTTTGGACACACTGGCGAGGCGTTACGCGCTTGCTGGTCCGCCAACGGCCTGTTACTTGCATCAGGTGGGGCCACAACCAGCACGACCGCACATGTGCCTCCTGCGCGGGCGCCAGTGCCCGGAAGGGTGTTGCTGCTAGCGATTGGGGGCTTGGGACGGTGGAGGCCCACAGCCGCTGCTAGCGGTTAATCCAGAGGTCCATGATAGCGTGTGATGCCTGATGCCTAGTGGTCTTGACACTCCTAGGCTTTGCGATAAACAGCTGTGAAACAACACCTTGTGAGTGCCCTCGCAGGTTCGGCGGATCGGACGGTGCGCCTGTGGGCCGCGGACCTGCAAGCCCCCGAATACACAGGTGTGTGGGCCACCTCCTCTCCATGCCACTCCAGGACCGCTCCCCATCCTCACTCGTTCCATCTTCCAAGTATCCAAGTAGGCTTCCATCCGCCGTCCCTCACCGGTTTACCGCCCTCCTTCCTCAACCGCTGTCTGCCGCCCCGGCAAGCGGCTCCCCACCAAATTAAACCAAACCAACCCGACCCTTCTCCTTCACCTTTGCGCTGCCAGGTCGCCAGCTAGCCGTGCTCGATGGACACCCCGAGGAAGTATACCATGTGGAGCTTTTCAACCCCACCGCACCGCCGCCGTCGCCAGCCCTCCTGCACACCCTACGACAATGGTACGGCGGAGGAGGAGGAGGAGGAGGAGCAGGCCAGGCAGCGGACCAGCAGCAACAGCAGCAGCTGCCGCCGCCGTTGCCGCCGTTTGAAACGCATGTGTTGGCTGCGAGTAGCGAGTCGCTGTTCGTTTGGTCGCTTCAGGAGGGTGCGGTGCTGCAGCAGGCGAATGCGCCCGGCACCAGCGGCAGCACCATTACGCAGGGTGAGCGGGGGCCACGAGAGGGGCCCTCCGGAGTGGCGGTATTCCGCATATGATTCCGCTAGGCTGTGTTAGGGCTGATTGGGCGCCCCGATGCTCAACTCTCCGTCCTTTCTTAGAGATGCATGCTTCGTTAAACCTTATACACTCTCGTTTCCTTTCCAGAAGCCATCATGTCTGGGTCTGCCAAGCCAGCCTACATCTTTGCTGTCAGTCGGCAGCCAGGATCGAACACGGGATCTCTCCTCGCGGCCGCTTGTTGCGATGGAGTGGTGCGGCTGTGGAGCGTGCGACCCACGGGTCACCTGGAGTGGGCGGGTCAGGTGAAGCTGCCCGGTGCTCCTATGTGCACGGGGTGCGCGTTTGCGGCGGATGGAGCGAGGCTGGGGGTGACGACACGTGAGGGGCGGCTAGTGGAGCTGGTAAGGAGCAGGAGATGGTGATGGTGATGGTGACGGTAGTCCTTTAGCTTCAAGGGGCCTATGTTGTCCTGTTGAAGGGGAGGTTGGGTGGGGGTTGGATTGCACGGAGACGCAGCGAGCGTAGCAAGTAGGGGTTCAAGCAGCAGCAGGAGCAGAAGCCAAATAGACCCGCAGTTGTGAAGGGTGGCCATGCCGGTTGTGTAAGCACTTGCTCCATCCACATTTTGCTTTGCACCCCGCCCTTCCTCCCCGCCTTGCTTTCTTCCTGCCGCCACACAGGACGTTCGTACTCTCGAGGTCCTCACCTCGCGGCTGCTGCCCTCTTCGCCCCTCTCGGTGGCGTACCTGCCAGCTGGGCCCCTACCGACAGCATCAGCGGCAGCAGGGGAGGAGGAGGGGCAGCGGGAGATGTGGCTGGTGGCATGCCGTGACGGGGCAGTGTACGGATACGAACTGGAGCAACAAGGTATCGTCCTCGCCCAAACACATAGCTCCACATTTTGAGCTAGCAAAGGCACGCAACTGGCAACAAAGGCCCCCCACGATATCCTAGTAGGTTGGCTTGCTCACAAGCACGATGCGATATGTATGCAAGACAGCCACTGTCTGGATGAACTCGGACGAACCTACTCATCCACCCTTCCCTCTTGTCACCGCCCGCTCCCTGGGGCCTACCACCCTCCGTTCTCTCCTCACCTTACGTCAGGTGGCGGCCCCGCCTGTGTGGTGCAGCCCCCCAGTGGGACCGGGGTGGCAGTGCTGGCAGTGGCTGTGTCACCGGGGGGAGCGGCGCTGGCGCTGGGAGGCGAGCCGCAGGTATGCACAATGCACAGGGGGGCGGTCCGTGGCTTCATGGCTTTGTGTTGCCTCTCCTTGTGTTTCCTCTCTTTTTGTTTCCTCTCGTTCTGTTGCCTCTCCCTCTCCTTGTGTTTCCTCTCTTTGTGTGTGTGCTCCCTTTTTGTGTGGATGGAAGAGATGGACGCCATGTGCGCCGGCGGTTGTCTCCGTAACGGCCATCATCCTGTTGTGAGATTCGCTAACATGCTGCTCTCGCTGCTTGCTACACCGTTGGGACACAGCATGTGGCGCGTTTACCGCCCATGCGGACAAAACAAGAACAACAGCAACAGCCGCAATCAAGACCAGAGCAACAAGGAACGTCATCTGCGCCCCAAGCAACCTCCTCCTCCACAAACGGCGGTACCATCGGACACGGCGCTCATGCCGGCAGCACATGCACGCCTCCGCCACTGCAACCTGCAACAACCGGAGCAGCAACCGGAGCTAGCAGGGGGACAGCATCACCTGCAACCCAAGCAGCAGCACCGGCAGCAGCAGCAGCTGCAGCCGTGGCGGCGCCTGCAAGGAGACGGGGAGGCGGCGGTGGTGGTGGATCGAGGGGGGCGGTTCTCTCGGGAGGGGGAGCGGCGCTGCGGAACCCGCTTGGGCTGCTGGAGGAGGCAGAGGCGGATGCGGGGGCACCGGCAGGACCCCAGCGGCAGCAGACGGCGTCGACAATGCAGGCACCGCCCCAGGGCAGTGAGGTGAGACGTGGGTGCGGATGGATGGGTGGGTGCGGAAAACGAATCTAGCCTTTCTCCTGAAGCGCTGCATGACTAGATGCGCCTGTCCTTGGCAAGCCTAACGGAACGGAAGCGAAACAGGATGTGTGAGGGACGGGGCACCCTGAGAGCGTTGTGCCGTACATTGACCCGTTGGCCCACCTAAACTCTTCCCGTCTTTGGCTGCCCCGTCTAGGAGCCGTCCGTGGCGGGTGGGATAGCGGGACTGTCACTCCAAGAAGGAGAAAGACGGGGCGATCAGGCAGGACAAGCGCAGTCGCAAACACAACCGCAGGAGGGGCAGCGCCAACAGCAGCAGGGACATGGGCACGCAGGGGGGCAGGTAGAGCAGGGGGTGCAGATCACAGAGGCTGGGCAGACGAAGCAGCGGCAACGAGAGCCTCAAGGGGAGGGGCATTCGTCCGCGGGAACCAAGACTGCAGCAGCGGAGCAAGGCAGTGGCAATGTACGTGCGGGTTTGTTCGTGTACCTGGCGCCGGGGCAATAGCTTTGTAGGTATGGCCGGTGGTCCTTGCAGGGGGAAGAGGTTGGGTGGCGGTGACATGCATGGCATTGGCAGGAGGGAATGAAGGAGAGGGAGCATGATAGCTTGCGTAGGCTGAGTGGTGCGGCTGGTGTATGGCCAAGTGTGAGGGGTAAAGAGGAAACAACTAACTGACCGTGTGATAAGGCATCATCATGGTTTGCCAAGTGTGAGGGGGGTGTGGATGGTGGTGAGCAAGGGACCATGGATCCTCCCGGGAAGCTGTTGGATGGCACGAGAGCATCCGGTTCAGTTGTAACGTTTCCGCATGCATGTGCTGTCGAGCATGAATGCATGCATGCATGGGTGCTGGGAGTTTGAAGGTATGCATGCGCACACAAGATGTACAGGTGGAGCCGCGGAGGATGGGGAAAGGAAAGATGGTTGATTGTAGCAGTAATCGTACAGAAATAGCGTTGTAAGAGGAGCAGTAGTAGGTGTGAATGCACCTTGTTGGGCTCGTGGCATGTGCGGCCTGGCAGTGTGGGCCCTGCCCCAGCCCGGCGGACGGCCTTGGTTGGTTTCGTTGGTTACTGGATATGCATTCCAGCGTAAGTTGCACGGCATGAAAGCCCCACACCCCCACCCCGATGCTGCATTGCGGCGGCGGACCGCGCAAAGGGTATGGCATTCGAGCGCATACATGCATTAGTACGCAGGGGAAGGAGCAAAGACGGCTCTAGGCACGGCTGTCGCCTTTCCAAGGACGGTTCGACAGGTTGGCTACGGCTGCCAAAGTATCGGATACAGTTGTGACCCACGGGTCGTCCTTGGATCTAGCCTTGTCAGGCAGTGCCGTTGAATCTGCAAGAGGCTGTAGCCAAGACCTAACATAGAAAGACATACCGGCCTACCTGCTTTTGTCAAGATACACCGCACAGGCTAAACCGGATTTCAGAATGGGTGCATCCTTTGCTGACACAGCGATTGTGCCCTACGGAGGTGTGAAAGTTGACATTTCACGTCCCAAGGACGGCAGCATGCATGACTCTTTTGAGCAAGCACGCAGAACCGCTGCTGCCCGCGCGGTGGAAGACATCTTTCGCCTTGCCCTCCCCAAGCTGCATGTTGCAAACGGCGCATACTTCCTCCTCACTAGCTCCAGCAGCTCTAGTGAACCCCTGATCGACGTCTACCAGCTGGACTGTTTCCAGGAAGAATCACGTGTACTACGATGCACCTCCGGGTGAGCTACTGGGATTAAACTTCGGATTAGCCGCGCGAGGTCTCGCGTTGGATAGCTTGCATCATGCCCATTAATACGGTACTGATCCCATGCTAACCCCGTAACTGCATGTGCCATCGGCCTCAGCAGGGCACGCGTCGGCCTGCAATCCACGCAAAAACTCTCCGGTCTGCCACCGGTGGTGGAAGCCACCCAAGCGGCAGTCGCCGAGGAGCTTCAGCGTCACGGCGGCTTCAAGATCAGCTGGAAGGACAGGAGGGTGAAGTTCTCCATCCAGACTTCCCCTGTTGCCAGGCGCCTGCTGTATGTGAGCTGGGCCTGAGGAGTACGGCCTGAGGAGTACGGCCTGAGGAGTACGGCCTGAGGAGTACGTGGGCTGGGCCTGAGGAGTACGTGAGCTGGGCCTGAGGAGTACGTGAGCTGGGCCTGCTGTTGCGGGGCAGTAGACGAGTGCTAATGCGTTGCCTGGCGTTGTTCCGGTGTGTGGCAGACGTGTAATGCGTTGAGCTGCCATCCACGCACGCTAAGCTGCGCATCTTGTGTAGAGGTCAGACATGAACCAGCTTGCCGTGCCTCGCTCGCTACATGGTTAAGAGGGTGGCTTGTTTACACCCGAGCCCGGACTGCTGGTACGCCGGTGCGTCACGGTGGCATACGTTGCGGTGCGTGCGGTCTGTTCGAATTAGGAAAGAGATCTGGGGCAGCGGCTATCCTAATGGCTGATTGACGTTGTAGCTGTTCGCTGTCTTTTCGACAATGGGGTGTAAAGGCATTGCTAAAACACGGCAATTGCGTGTGCGTTGCTGCCATACGTCATGGCATGCCTGTTGTTATTGTGCTTCTCATCCGTCGGGGTGGGCTCACCGGGATACGGCATCTTTTGACAGCTGTTGCACCACTGTACGGCATAATGTTTACGGCCATGTGTACGGGTCCATGTGCTGGACCAGGGGTTGGTTTGTTTCTGTACCCCAAGGGGCGTCTGAGAGTAATGCACCAAACGTAGTGAAGAAGCACGCCGCATGCTCACTTGTAAGTGCCGTATGTTTGGATTTCCGGCGCTTCTATATGTGTTCATCCACAAGTCCCTCGTAACGTCGCAACCCCCACGCCGCCGCAAACCAGCAGCAACGCATGGGCTTATTCTTGTCGTGCAAACGGTCCCACCAATGTATGGAACCTAGGCTCCTAGATGGGGCCGCCAAGAAAGCGTGTTGCCAGCGGGGTGTGCGGCTCCAAGGCTATGTGCCATGCATGACCCCTGTAAAGCATTACAATGCGGGATGCGGGTTCCGGGCCCGCAAGGTGCATGGCAGGATTTCAAAAGCCAGCAGGGCGACATATGGCGTCGCGAGCCGCTTGCTGGTATCAGTGACTGGAGTGAGCGCTGCTGCTTGCTGGGAATGCCCTAGGGTAGCGCACACCATGCACCAACCCCATGCGCCACTACATATGGTGCCTTGACAGGCTGCGTACCTTGGCACTGTTGCTCTTTACGGGCCCGCCAATACCCATGATGCCCATGATATTAAGCGAGGTTAAGCGTGGCTATAGTCACGGCTCTTGCCTTTCCAAGGACGGTTCGAAAGGTCGGCTACGATTGCCAAAGTATCGCATACAGATGTGACCCACGGGCCTTTCATCGGATCTAGTCATGCCTGGCTATGCCGCTGAATCGACTGACTATACGCCACAGCCAAGACGCAACAAAGTACCATATACCAGCTGCCTACGGTAAACTAGCAACAACCCAACAGTGCAACAATGGCTTCACCATACGCTGACAGGGCGATAGTCCCCTTTGGCTGCCTGACAACACACAGCTCACGTCCCAATTCCAGCTACCCTACCACCACAACGGAGACCCACACTGCTTGGACACAAGAGGTGTTTGATGAGGCTCGCCGCGCCACTGCTGCCCAAGCGGCGCAAGAAGTCCTAAGCCTGGCGTTCTCCCAGCTGCACTCTGCAAACGGCGCATACTTCATCCTGTCATCAAGCTCGTCTCCAACGGACAAGCCGTTGATAGACGTTTACTACCTGGAGGGCAGCAAGTTGTCAGGGGTTGGAGACTTTGAACTCACCTACACCAGCATCTGGTAAGGGTACAGGCGTCCATCGTAGGCAGGCTGCCCACTCCGTGCCTTCATGCTGTGGCCTGACGCATGAGATGACGTGACCCAACTCACCTCAGGAAGCAAGGCGTAAAGGTCCAGGACAGTGCCGTAACGTACGTGCAGACGGTGGTGGAGGCCACGCAGGCCGCTGTGGTCGAGGAAATCAAGCGCCTGGGCAACTTCACGGTGCGCTGGGAGGACAAGCGCGTGCGGTTCTATTCCTCAGTCCGCCGGCTGCTGCTGTACGTGGGATGGGCGTGAGGTTGCCCGAGCGTAACTGTGTTGGGTGCCGTATTCCGTTCCGTTCCATTCTGCTGCCTGCATACGTCCGGTTTTGCGTTGCTGCAGGCGGTTGTGGCATTGCTAGGTTATGCCAGGCTAAGCAACGCGACATTGTTAGGGCGCAATGAGGCAGTTACACCTTGTACGGCGCTTTTCGGTTTTCGTGCACGGCCTGGCCGTGCGTGGCAGGGCAGAAACCAAGCAGGGAAGAGCAAGGAATTGACAGCCGCAGCTTCTTCCATGGGGTTAGCGGTGATTGGCCGTGAAGTCTGTGGTGGTAGGAAGCCCCTCCGTGCGAGGGCATCGCATCGCACAATGAACAAACTTACCGTTGGTAGCGTCCCACTCTGGGAAAACGGAGCGTTCGTATTTTGGGGAGAATTCGTAATCTAGGCCAAACCATTCGTATTCTAGGCCATGTGGGCTTTACGAATGGTGTTCACACAGACATGCACCTAGCCCTCTCACTGGGTGTATTTAAGTCCTATATTGTGTTAAAATCCACGCCCCACCTAAAGTGCACACATGTGCACACACGCACTCTGACTCCCTGTTTTCCGTATTCCATCTGGCACGATTCGTAAAATTGGGACACCCGTCCGTATCCTGGCACTGGCCCATAATACGGAGTATCCCCAGCCGAGAACAGGTGTAATGCAGGTATACGACGTGCTACAGGAGTCCTTATGAAATTGTTCTGACAGGTTTACGCAAATTTAGTACCATGCGGCATGGACAGGTGGTACCTTACATACACAACTCATCCAAAGTGTGCTCTGGGAAAAGCACGGAAGGACCCGTCACCCAATGGCAGGTCACTTCACGTTCCGCCACCACATCACCACACGACTCTCATACGAAGAAACCGGCCCCTCATGCCAGCATGGCCGATATTTTGCCAATATTTAAGTTAACATACACTGCACGGACAGGCCTACCTAACCATAGCGTAACCCTACAATACATACTGCTCTATACCTACGTGTCTGCATGCCGTGGTGCCACGAGACTGGCATGATACAAAGTACCTTAGGCCCAGCATGCACAAGTCAAGTCATGTTTGGTCCTGCACACACACGCACCTACGCACGCCAACAGTGCACCCGCGAGCTCTGCACGCGGTCTAATAAAGCATTTTAAAGCCTAAGCCATGCCGGCGGACCCGCTGTAAGCGGCCGTGGTGACACGATACTGGCACACAATACATTCGGCACCACAGCATGCACAAGTCACCATGTTTGGCCCGGCACACACAAGTAACACTCCCTGCAAAAATGCAAATTCGAGGTCCTAGTTGCCCTACCTATAGCCTAGCCTAACCCAACCTAGCCTACCCTGTCTAACCTAGCCTGACCTACCATGACTCCTGCCTCCCATGCATTGTACATGCCACCTCCCCCTAGGCCATGCACTTCCTCTTTCGACCCCGCACACCGCCTTCCCCACGCTGCTTGCTCTCCACGCAGGTTCCCGAGCTGTTGGAGCTCCCGCCAGCCTGAGCCGTGCTAGCTGGTGTTGCGATAGGGGTAAGAAGCAGCAGGCAGCAGTTGGGGCGGCAAAGGTGCCCAAGGCAGGAACTGGGTCGAGTGGCCAGTCTCGGCGTGTGCGGGCTAACCGCTAGATAGAGGCAGACTGGGAGTAGGTTGTTTGCAATGGGCATAGAGTAGCTGTGAGTGGAAACATGGTTCGTAGATAGGTGATCCAAAGTTGGGTTGGGTTGGCTTCACGTGGTGTACCTTTTGTATTGGTTTGGCCGTGATTGCTTGGATGATTTATTATTATAAGCTTGGATGACTTGATAGCACAAACCTGATACCCATGACCATA